GTAGCAGACGCAAGAGTGCGAACGGCAGAGCGGGGCAACAAGGGCGAGTATAGGAGGGTGGGAAGGAGGCGTGGAAAACGAAATCTAACTTTAATCTGCACCTTTTTAAACTTTTGAACCTGGGAAGAGCAGACCAACGGGTTGAGGGAAAGAAATCGCCGACACGCCCCCGCGTTTGTTTGAAACACGCGGAGGGCACAGCAGGCGAATAAATGCGAGGAGAAGTGGAGCTATATGAACCGGCGTGGATTGGCAAATGAGACCCACAACAGTCGGACAAAAGACCAAGCCAAGTGAAGTCGTGTCACGGATCCTTGCCTCAGTCATGCTGGTGAAAGCTGCACGAATTCTGCGGCTTACTCAGAACAACCCAGCTGAACACGCCTTGTGCATGACGTGATGCAGTTGGTTCACGGTTTCTGAACCTGGCAATCTGAGTCCCCGAAGGTATTCATTCCAATTCTTGGGCAGTCACCGTAAGCTGCCACACAGCTCGGAGTGATAGCGTTCTTGCGATGGATACCAAGATATGTGCAAGCCTCCGTCGCCCCAGGTTCACCACATCCTTCGGAGCGATCTTGCCCCATGCTGAAGAAGAGTAGTGGATTTGAGGGTCGAAGGTTGCAGGAATTCCAGTCGAACGGAAGCGGCTTAGATGTGTTGCCACTCTAGCTTTGGACTTCGTCTCATGCTCTCGGGAGTTTATTTTCAATCACAGGTGCAAGTGCTATGCATGTATTGAGATGGCATGCTCCCATCTAACATTGCAGCAGCGCATGTGGGTTTGGAGCCTAGACCGCGAAGGAAGCCGGTTCACGATGTACTTCTAGGGCATGAAGTCAGGCAGAGCCAAGTCTACTTAGCGCGGTGCACGGACCCAGGTGTCTACTCCTCGACGCGCGCAATTCGCTGCGCATGCGGGTTGGCACTATGCTCAACAAAAGCGCCTCCTCACCCCATCCGCCGCTGCTGGCCGGGGAGTGAACGGGACGGAGGATGTGCATGCCTGTGCCTAAGGTCGGAAGTTTGCTCTACGAACTATAGGGAGAATGCCATATTCACAGGGTGAAAGCAGACCCATTCATTCAAATCCTGCTTGGGCATTATACAACAACTTTCCATCCCGGGCTGTCCTCGAGCAGCCAATATCAACCATGTGACAAGCACCTCGCCCATAGGTGTAGAGTCACTGGATGCTCATGGGTCGCATTCGAATCAGAAGCTCCACCGACTCTCGACCGACATGCTCCGGTTCAGACGACTTGTGCCATATGCAAGAACAGAGGTTGTAGGCCCGAGAGATGTCAGCCCTGTCCACAGAACCGCCTGCATGGTGCAGGCGGCCTTCTTGAAATATGCCTTCTTCTCCACACCAGCACCTGGGTACCTGGGCAGGCATTTTTTCATTCGTTACTGTACATTGTGCCAGATCTGATTGTAGGCTCGCCCCTCCTGCAACTGTCAGCCCGAAGTGCCCCAATATCTGGTCAAAGGCGAGCCTGGTGAAGCAGGAAAGCCTTCAGCCCTATTGTTACCGTCCGCGCTGAACCCCAGCCCAGGCACTGGTCTTGGCATGGGCGTGCCGCACTGGCAGCACTGCGGGGGGCCACGGCCCCGGCACATCTCCGTGCTAGCAGGGGACGGGCTAAGTCCAAGGAGGGAATGCCACTGTCGTAGCTTCGGTTCGCAGGGGGATCTAAGCGCTGTTATTGAAGAACCGGAGCGGCTGCCTCAGGGGTCCGTTAAGAGACTGATTTGCCCACGGTCTGCGGGTAGGCTAATAGGCCCTCGAGACAAGGGCTTGTCCGCAGCTCTTACATCCCTTGCAAGCAAGCAAGCAAGCAAGCAAGAGAGACAGATTCAATCTCGCTCCCAAAAGAGCCCATACAGTATGGGGAGCAATTAAACCGGCATTTTGTCTCCCGACTTTTGCTTTCAACAGCATGGTGGGGACCTCTGCTTCCAACAACGGCTGTCAAGACTATGTGGTAGCCATAGGGGCGCATAGATGAGGCGGGGATTGGTTGACGTTTAGTGCAACGGGGGGTTTGACAGCTCGGAAATGTGGGAGCCCACTTTGTAGTTCAGTACCGAAATCAGGGTTTTGATGATTACCCCAAAGCCGACCACTTAATAATCAGATGGGTGGCCGGGCGGGCTAAGTCGCACCGCGACCCCTATGCTCGGCAGAAACGAGAGCGAGTGCGAGAGAGTCAGAGATATGTCAGCTCACGTGGACAAATTCGTGCATGTGTCCTGCCTCAGTGCGTTCCGGATTGTATCGCGCATAAACTCTGCGACAATCTGGAAAACTTGCAAAGGTTCTCACGTCCTGCCCAACGCCCCAGCAAGCACGGTTGGGGACCTTACCAGGACCGGTCCCCCACGCCCTGAGGGAAGATGAAGAAGAGAGATTCAGATACAGCTTCAGCTAACAAGTTATCAGTTCCAAGCGGCCGTTTACTCTCCGTCTCCCCCTCCCTCCCTCGCTCCCCCCAAACCCGGCGGCAGCGTTTTTATGATGAGCCGATATGGGCGAGGCTTTGAGGTGTCAAGGCCCTGGCATTTCCTGCAGTCTTACGATCTTGAGTCCTCTGGCTCGGGCATTGCAGCCGCTGCAGTCTGTCCGATCCTTTCAATGCCAGTCCTGAGCCTTGACCGCTGCTGAGATGCTCGTTCTCTCCGTGGCTCCCATGTGCCTGACCTTCGCGCCCGGATCTCGGTCGATAGTGCAGCTGAGCTCATTCAAGAACTTCCCTGCCCCCTGAGCCTAAGCTGTTCCTTGCCGGGACCTGGGTCTACATAAGCTGGCAGCAGGACCTCGGTCAATCATGGTCAATTGCAGTGACGCTTCAGCAACTGCGAAAGTTGAAGGATGCTGTCCACGAAAATGGCAGGCATCCCTCGCCAAAGCAGGTCCAGCCATTTCCGTCCGATGTCTCGTGACTTGCGCAACAATCTCGTTGCAATTGCCGCACTCCACATAAAGCAAATACACTGCCATAGGAACTGGTTTCATCCTCAAGCAGACCGAATCCAGCATCTGCTCATAGAATTCCTAATGATGCATTTTAGTAGCTTTTTGCATTCACAAGTTCTACCAGAATGCCATCCAATGTCTGCCAGCTTCGCTCGGATAATCCCGTAAGCGCAAGCCAACCCCAAGGCTTGGTGGCGCTCTGTCGGTAGCGCATTTCTCGGCCAAAGTCAGCGAGGCCCAGTTGCCGACAACGCACTGCTCTGCAGTTGAAAAAGTGTTTGCTACTGCGCAACTCCCTGTCCTGCAGGTGCGCGCTGTGGAGTTTGAGCGCGCAGGGCAAAACCGATGGTTCCTACGTCTTCTGCAGGCACGTCAATGGAAGATCGAGTCTTGCAGGCTGCAGCAGATGAGGGGACTGTCAAAGACTACGCTTGGGGCATGTCGGGACGTTTTTGGATTCCTTGCTGCATGTACACTGCCTTCCCTGAAACTTCGGGCTTTGTACTGCAAGGACCCCTGGGTGCGGAGCAATCGGAGCTTCATAGAGATGGTGAAGCCTCAGTATCCACGCAGAACAAGCATCTCCTAAATTCGCGAGCGGCGACACTTTGCGACATGTCCGACCCACTCCCAAGACAAAGTTAAAGGAAGACCCACAGAGAGATGCCCGATTGGCCGCGGAGGTCTGCAGCGCAGTGACCGGCATGTCCAGCTTCGTCCTGTTCCTTCGGCTCTGCTTGGATCAAAAGGCACCGGGGATCGGGGGCCTCTGATGCCAAAGCTGGAACGTTACGACCGTTACGAATCACTACACATGCCAAGGAAAGCGTGTGAGTTATTGCCTGCAGGAGCGAGTCGTGAAGTGAGCACAGGGGCAGCGGCCAGGAGAATTAGTACGAGAACCTAATTCTGCTCAGGTGACAGTGACAGCCCGTGCTAGGGGTCAGGCTCCAGGGCTTAAAGGCTACAAGGGCCATGTTCCAGTACGCCAGACGGCTAGGACCGCTAGGACGAGGTGGAAGCCAGTTGGCTCATGTCGACTGTTGTGTAGTCGTGTTTGCATAGGGGATGTCAGCTCTACAGGGCAGCGCTTCAGAAGCAGAGGCGTCTTAAACGTTACGGAAGCTCAGGTTCGCTCTCCATCGCATTTGAAACGAGCCCTTGTCGGTCGCATGACATCAAGACACAGCGGACATGAAGGGAGTTGTGGAAGGGATGATTGTCATCTTCACTCGAGTTCTTTCACGGCTGCAGAACATGCATCTCTCAACAAGCTGTTTGCTGTGCACCAGAGCCGTAGAAGAATCTGCGTGAAAGCCCTTGCAAGCTTCACAAGCCAGATCCTCCAATATCTTTTCTTCCAACACAGTTGGAGTCTAGTCTTGCTGGAGACGTCATCAGGATCTGCGGCAGATTGTTCCGATTCCTTGTTCCATTTCAGGCTGAGGAGGCCGAACAAATCCCGAAAAACGCCGCCAAATAAACAAGTCGCGCCATGCGGCTTCACAGGCAACCCCTCACTGCTCACACTTGCTTCCTTTTGATGAGGCTGCAGAGACCATCGAGCAATCCGTCCCACTTGTTTTTTCAGACTGATCCACAGGCCCCTTCGCGCAGGTTCAAGGTTCCCGGAACTATGAGGATTAATCATGAAGCCTGCTCACCTTGCCTTCCGACAGTCCCAAACAACGCCTGAGAAGCCCAGCTCGGCAACTTCTGCGGCCTGTTCGCCCGGCACTGGGGTCCCTTTCGACACCTCCAGAAAAACGAGTGTAGCCACACTCTTACAGCTACCTCGTTGTTGAATCTGGGTTGGATAAGGCATGGACCTAAGTTGATTGACTTCGGGACATCAGGGCAGAAGTGGCTTGCACTGTATCTCAGTACCGCTTGCCAGACTCATCAAGGGACCCCATGGAGCATGCGGAATGATCGCGCGAGGGAAAAAGGAACCATTGCTTGGAGCCTGTCATCGTTCCGCGCACCACATCCGATCACAAAATCTTGCGCGTGCTGTCAGGGCCCAGTCGAGCGGCGTTGAGATGTCACCTGCCGCACCACCCGACGGGGAGCTCGTGGAATGGGACTCGCCAGAGCCTCAATCCGGCAAACCTTGGAACGTTGTAGTCAGCAACGGCTCAGGCTCCAGCCGATTCGAAAGAGTGATGATGAAGAGGAGGCTATGACCAGGAAGTGCTAGGATTTGACTTGAACGGCTTGGCCTTGCTCCGCTCTTTCGTGGCGTTTACTGTCGTGTTGAACCTTCATCCTCGTCAACTCAGAGTCGAGCTGTTCAGCAGCACAGCGCTTGGGTACCATTTGGCGGCATATCCGAGGCTTGTTGCACTGGGGTCGGTGAGTTACATCGAAAGTCTCGTGGCTCGCGGCAGCTCGGGACGGCTCGGATTCTGCGATTGACTACTGTGCAAGTTGTCTTCAGCTGCCTTCGTGAACCCAATCGCAGAGAGGTGCTGCCAAAGCAGAAGAGTAAAGAGTTCGACAAGGGCGAGAAGAACGAGAAGAACCCGCCGAAGCCGAAAAAGGGCCGAAGGCGGGCGGCTCAGCCGGACCAGGTTCTGGTGAGACCTGTTCTGCCGAGGCAGAAGGGGTGCTAGCGAAACGTTTTATCTATCGAAGGAGGATACAGGTCTGGGTTCACCAGGCTCGGCCTGATGTCATGGGCTTGGAATGCTACGACTAGGCGGTGCGCAACTAGCCAAGGTTAAGGGGATGTGACCACAAACCCTCCACAGTGTCAAGCTGGCACAGATCAGCAATGGCAGAATTCGGTCTTGATTGAATTTCTCCTGCCCTTGTGGTGCCAACATGAGGAAAGGAACTCCAAGCTCTAAGAGCAGAAAGCAACAGAAGCTGCCAAAAAGCCGGGCAGGGATGTGCAGAAGGTCGACGTGAAGAAGCTCCTTGAGGCTTCGCTCGGGGGACAGAGACCTTCGATGCCCACCCCGGGTGGTGCAAGTCCGATGGGCTCTGGCGAACGTGAGCAGATCTCAGGACGAAGCGATGGAGTACATGGGATGCGGCTACTGCTTGTTGACGACGTTGTGACATGTGTGCGGGGGCGTAAACTTGGGCGCAGACACCTCGAGTACTGAGAGTGAGATCACTGCAAACTCTTCCACAACTTACTAATCTTGATCAGGGCGCTGAAGCTTTCAAGCCTTACCTGCAAGAGAGAGCGTCAAGGCAAAAAGAGAGAGAGAGAGAGAGAGAGTGAGAGTGAGAGTGAGAGAGCCCGAGTGAGGGAGAGCAGAGACTCGCCCCCAACGCTGGGAGAAGATGACAGAGACTGAGTGATGGAGAAAGCCAGTTCCGAAACCCCGAGCCGGAGAGACGCGGACGAGCGAAAGCGACGGAGCAGGACGGGGAGGGAGGGAGATGGAGAATTTAAGCCTTGACCCTCCGAAGGAGGAGAGAGGGCAAGGCAAGACAGCAACTCTCCCCATGGTTTGCTTTGTCCGGACAGGGAACCGAGGCGGAGTCAGCAAGGGCCTGATGTCTTCACTGTCTGGGGACTTGCGGTTCGTGTGGCTCTGCATTCCAAGCTGTCTCACTTCGCCGCGGTTCCGTTCGGATTCGGGTGTTTTCGTGGGGAAGGAGGGAAGTCGAGAAGCGATTCCGTGAACGTCCGAGGCGAAGTCCGTGATGGAGAGCGAAGCGCCCAGCTCGCTGCATCCTTGGCTCAGGGCCCTTTTCTTTCTTCCGTGCCCCGTAAATTGAGGAAGGGCGGGATAGGTCGGATAGGTTCAGGTTCAGCACTGGCAGTCGGCTAGTCTTTGCCCAGATGTGGCTTGGGGAGCATTCGAAAGCCTGCCTACCACTCGACAAGCCGATGTCAAGGTTTAGACGTTCTGCAGAACCGAGAGGCCCGAGCAGGGAGCAACACGCAAAGCATGGCTCAGATCGGCAGCGCAGCCTGCGCAGCCCATCGACGCAGTCCCCGTGCCAGGCCAGGCGGTGGCTTTGGAGCATTTGAGGCTTTCTGGAAAGGTTGCTCTTGCAGGCTGAATAGTGAAAAGGAGCACAGCACAACCATTCCGCCCGCGCCTGCGACATCCGAGCACCCGGAAGTCATGGAAGATGCAGTACTGGTTCCATGTGCCTTTCTGTCGCTACCCTCAGACTTGCATGGCAGTAGTTCAAGCAACTGTTTGCCTGAATGTCTTCTGCAGGGACAGCCAACAGCCAACACAATCACGGTGCTATGGATCAGCTGACAAAAGCATCTGTCATACGAGTCCTTCTGTGGGCGCTCGTTCCTTTGGCTTTGCTTCGAAACACCCGCTACACACGAGGCCCCATGGCATGCTTTCCTGCAAGATTCCCGAGCAAGTCAACGTCAACGTGGGGTCTACGAGATTCTAAGTTCTAGTGTCCCTGTGTCCCATGCCTCGCCCTTTCCGCCTCCCCGCCATGCACCACAGGCTCCGCAGTCTACAACGAGGCCGGCATCGGGATTCAGTTGAGTTCCTGGGTTCTCTGCCTGTTGGACATGCCTCGGCCATCGAGAACAAAGCCTTTCCAAGTCAGATTATCAGATTACCTTAGGAGCTCCAACGGTTCCCCAAGCGCCGCAGGCCGTCCAGAACCTGCTCAATGTCTTGGGTTCCGGTGGCGTAACAAAGGAGCAGGCCAGAGCGGGGGGTTCTTCCTCCTGCATGGGTCAGGGGGGCGGCACTAATGCTCGTAGGGCCACCATGCTCAGTGTCATGTCATGATAGGTGTCATGGGTTTGCCCTGCTGCGTGCAAAGCAGCCTGCGGAGGTCGAGTATAGCTTGTCGCGCAACATCGAGCAAGGCACGGACAATCCGATCCACTATTCATGATGTCTTCTCGGGGTGAACTTCTTAGATAGTCATGGATCGATCCTCGTGAGCACTTGTGGAGCTTAGGTGTGTTTGTGCGCATGATATGCACGCACACCTACATAAGCATACACATGTAATACACGTATGCAGCTATACATCCAGCTGAGCGCATCCGCCATGCCGCTATGTGTTTCTGGCACTGAACATCGACCATCAGACGGAATTGAGCCGGCATCGCCGGGTTTGTTCGAGCGGAAGAAGAGAGCGTGAAAGGTCCAAAAATGCAGGGCGCTGGAAGCAATGATAGCTGATAGCACATACGGTTCCGTAGGAGTCACAAGAAAGGCGTTCGACTTGGGTCCAAAGATTGCCTGGTGTGCAGAGAAGCGCACTTTGTTTGGCAATCTCTCCCCAGCCAGCCAACAATGGAAGTCAATAGCCTGCTTGAAAAAGCATCGTCCAGAGCCCTGCATACAGAGCCCTGCATAGGTTCAGGAACTCGATTTGAAGTAACCGTTACTTGAGCAGCATCTTTTGAGAGCCCTGAGTTGAAAGTTGGAGGCCTCCGAGTCTCCTGAGAAAATGTGAGATGTTCCAGCGAGGCATGGACTTGACGCAAGCGGCGGACCGCGCTTACACGGACCTTGTGTGTGAAGGCGTGCCTAGGGTGAAGATGGTGGAGCTTCGAGGGATTTGATTAGGGAGGTGTTCCAGCCGCCGCCAGTGGCGAGAAATTGTCGTTGGTGCTTCGATGCTGATTGGCGGCTAGTCTCCTTTGGAGTATCGAGGCACCCACTCCATCGTTTCGGATGGGTAAGCTGTATAAGCTTACGGCTTACATGTCGTGCGTTTAGTGCAGACGAGCTCCTGCCCTGGGCAGGGCCGTCTGGACAGCGACGAGCTCAGCCTTCGGGGCGACAGAGGCCTAAAGATCAGAGGACTGCGGAGACTGGGAGCCCGATCGAAAGCTGGCATCGGCTAAAGACGAAAGCAGGCATCCCCGGAGCAATCTGGCTAAGTTCAAAGCAGTCGGTACATGGAGTCTGGGCAAGCAGGCTCTGGGTTCGTGCAGAACGTGCGTGATGTAGCTTGGAAGACCAGCTCTGAGGATTGTGGCGTGTAGCTGCTCCGTTCGGAGCCTTGATAGAAAGTGCCGTGAAGCAGTGCCCTTCTCCCGCCGAGGCCCAACGACGCTGAGGCCACAGCATGGGCAAAGAGACTGTTTTTCATCTGGCTCCTGTGGCTGTCCGCTATTGGATTCACGGAGTGACTTGAACCAGATGAGTATCAGTCATGTAAAGCCTCCACCAGTGAGCAGACCAGATTAACAGACAGTATCAGCGGCGAGCATCACCTACACAACTGTTCACGTTGTATCCAAAGGCTTCAGCCATCAACCCAAGGTCTTGTAGATGCCCCATGTTTTGGTTTGAGCGCATGGTCGTACTCATGCAGATGCGGAATCGCCAAGAGGTAGCAAAACCATCGCTCCCACGTCTTGCATCTTGATGTGGCGGGACTTGCAACATTGAGACATTTGCTGAATGACACGACATAGCAACAGTTCGTGCAGTTGGCGAGATTTCTCAGAGGTATCTTGCACTCCAAAGCTTCAGCACCCAAGCTCGAGCCGTCCGATGCCATATGCCACTGCTTAGCTGGATCTCCGTCGCTTACCTTCAGCTACGACTACGAGAATCCGTTTTTTGGGACCCTACCACAAACATCCAAAAACTAGGCCAAGGTAGCTCCCAGAGTCCAGGGCTACAGAGCCCTGGAATACTTGCGGCGCAGGCGGATGCCGCAGTCGAAGAGGGCTCTGAGGACGGGACAAACCAACTGGGACCCCGTGAAGGTTCTTCTGTTCCAACCGGAGCTTCTCTTGAAGCTGCGGGTGTGAATGTGAAGTATAGTAAGGGCTCCACACCGCAGCGAGTAGAGGAGGAGGAAGAGGAGCAGCTGCCCCCGATCGACCTCCCAGTCTGGCCCTTAGAGTTGTCAGAGCGATGGGATGTAAGATCGGGAAATGTGGGATGCCAGTTGACACCGGAGTGGGGAGTCTACACTTCCAGCAAGTGATCTACATGCCTGTTTGGCTGTTCGTCCGATTTCTGAACTCTTCGCACCAGGTCTTCTGGCCTGGTCTTTCCGATTCGCCCGAAACCCGAGGATCTGATCCCACAAGAAAGGCGACCGCCAATCCCGGCAACACCCCGAGGCTGGCAGGCGCGCATTGGTAACGTTGGCCTCAATCCCGGAAGATATATTATGTGGAAGTGCCAGAACATAAGGGACCCAAATGTTCACCCGAGAATAATAGGATCCTGACTATGAGGAATCCGATATAATTACGGGACTGTTGCTATTTTCGGAACTGTAAGCAACTCCATTCTCTCAGAAGTCCGGAAGGTTTAGAACTATTCAATTCCTCCAGCCTGTGTGCTTCTTAGTCTCGGTGCTGCGTCGGAGACTTGCTGGCTGCAATTGTTCCCGAAAGCGAGTCTCGGGGTCTTTCTAGGGTCCAGCATGCAACCCTGAAACCCAAAACACACGCAAGTCTAAACAGCTAGATGCCTAGGTCCCGAAAAGCCCATCCACGCGTGTGGCATGAGCAGTACATGAGTTACAGCTGAGATGTTCCATGACAGCTGTGCTCTCCGAGCCTGCGTCCGGCTCGTGAGGAACAAGGATATAGGACCAAGCGTTTGGCTATCCAGCGTAAAGTGTCTTCCATCGGAATGGGATACAAGTATACATTATGCGACACTCACCACACTAACCTAGATTCAATCCTGGGGCTGCCTCGCGGCAAGTGATTGGTCCGTTTGCACCTGATACTGAGCACACGTCACAGCTGTAGTAGGCCTGCACCCTGCATCGTGCGCCCTTGTTCGAAGTTTGAGCCGCAGCCATGGCGGAAAGCGACCCCTACGGTATCCTGCTTCATCTGATATGGGGTTTTGCACGTGCAGACATGCCTGCCTCCTGCGGATGAGGGAGAACAGACAAGGTGCGTGAGCCGAGGTCTAAAGCCCGGCAAGCAAGGCAGAGCCGGAGGTCACAGCCACGGCAAAGGAAAGGCTGCACAGCCCCCACGGCCAGGAGCTTAGGGTGTCGAACTTTCATATGTTACAACTAGGACATGCCATCACAATGACATGAAGATTTGCTTTCCGTCTTCTGTGCTTTCCTGACTCACCATCTTCGGGCTATGCTACGCTGTTTTGTGGCCAAGCCTGGCATGCCTCGGCCCTGTGCGTGCCTTCCCTGGAGTCCCGCAATTCCTGAGGCCCATCAACTACAAGCGGCGCTGGGACCATGGAAAAGACCTCGACGATCCAGTCTACCCAACAAAGAAGACCCATGACGATGCTATAGACTTGCGAGCCTTCTGGTGCAACCCTGGGATCAGCCCAAGAACTCGGACAAGCTGTCAGGTTACGGGTTATGGCTTCTGCATCTTGCTAGGTCGTTTCACTGCTTGAAATTTGACACACCCGGCTCACGGCAAGGATTCCAGCAGCTTTGATGCCACTGTTCCCCCAGGACTCCTTTTTTGGCGAGTTGAGCCCAACCTTTTGGGAGCCGTCTTTTCTGCAGCTGAACCCCTAATCCCTAGTTGCGGCGGCAGTCTGTCTGACCCACCTGGATCGGGCAATAGGTTGCCTCAAGCCATCCAAGAAATAGGACTGGCGATCTGCTGGACGAGCTCTCCTTTGCTTGGGCATGGCTCCTGGGTTGCACAGAAAGCGCGCAACAAGCTATCAGAGCTAGCTCACAGCGAAAGGCCACTCACTTTCCACCAGAGCCGAGGCCATGCTTGAGGGGATCCGCTTGAGGTCCAAGGGCGCCACCCTGAAGTGGCAGAAGGTGCCCGTGCTCCACACGTTCCGCACGGAATCCAAAGGGGCTGCTCTGGGCTTGGACGCACTACTGCGGCAGTCCATGAGCGAGTTGGGAGCTTCTTTAGGCAACCTTGTTGACGTGGAGTCTAAGCGCTTGGGCTTCTAACACAGTCTCATCGCTTTCGCGGCCTGAGCCCGACTGAATGCAAACCTTGGAGGCTGGCTACTGCAGCGCTCTGTGCCAAGAGCAGTGCGCCAAGTCCCCCAACCGCATCTTCTGCGCCTTGGACTGGTCGCTTGAGCCCGCAGCGATCGGATGCGGCCTTCATACTACTACTACTACTACTACTACTACTACTACTACTACTACTACTACTACTACTACTACTACTACTACTACTACTATGTCAAAGACAGGACAGGGCATCCCTGTGCCACCGAGACACTGAGGTGCCTGGAGGGTCCAAAACACCGTCCACGACCACCACAATCGCTTGGACGGAGCTCTCATGAGCCACCTATCTGTCTCATCTTTGAGATCACTTGGTCATGGTAGGGTCAGGAGTCGCAAAGCAAAGCCTCAGGCAGAAGTCCTAGTGGAAACTTGATACTCGTATCATCCATTGTCCCTAGTGTTGTTTGTCGAGTCTTGTTGATGTCGAGATATGTCGAGTGATGGTTATCGACGAGATTTGGACATGATGTTGCTTTCCTGCATTGCCGGTGTTGCTTTCGTGTGCTGTTGTCGGTTGTGGCTGCTGCTGCTGCTGCGGTGGTGGTGGTGGTGGTGGTGGTGGCGGCGGCAGCAATGAATTTTTTTTGTTGTTGTGTTTGTTTCATTGTTTTGCTTGTTCGTCGTATCTTTTGCGTGCGTGCATGTATACGTCTACATATGTGTTTGTGTATATACACATTTGCGGATGTGTGAATGTTTGTGTTTGTTTGTGAAGTTGGGTCTTGGGCTGACGGTTTATCTATCAGAATCTGTCATGTGTCTTTGGCAGCCATCAGTTCCTACAAAACTGTCTGGTTCTTAGTAGAGAATGGGGGAATGGATTATGGGAAACATTATTGGGATATATAGGGACTACTACAGGTTCCATTCCCCCATTCCCTACTAAGAACCAGACAGACAAGTTCTGCATGTCTTGTTCTGGCATGTTCTGGCATGGTTAGGGTTTGTCCTGGCGACCCAGGCTACAAGGGCATGGTGCACTACGATGACCCCAAGAAGCCCATCTACCGCATCCTGAACCAGGTGGCCGTGAAAAACAGGTACAAATCCGATGCTCGTTCAAGACAGGCTCAACACTTGCAGACGATCTCTCCGAGATCGTTTGCTTAGTGGTTTGGGGCCTAGTTTTGAGAGTTGAGGGATCTTGGGACCAAGGAGCGGATGGTTTGGGACGCCAGCCAGGCTGCGTACATCTTTGCCGACCGCGAAGAAATACATCCAGGCTTTGGGATCCGGCCGGACCGCGATGAGTCCCACTATGCGCCCGACGAGGACCGAAAGGAGGGAAGAAGTGTTCCCCTAGAACTTCAGCTCCCACTGTCACGCGTGAATTGCAACTCAATATCCGAAGCGGCTCCCGCTTCTCCTGAAAGGCAGCGGCTCGAGGTCTGAGGGTCCGAAAACTATTGAAGAAAGTCGAACATGTCATGTAAATATTCAACAAAGGGGGCTGGAATCTCAAGATGCCACACTGCAAGAACTGCGAAGTCTTGCTGGCAAGGAGACCTATGATTCTGACAGTGACTTAGAGGCATCCTCGGCAGACGAGGACTCGGATGGAGACGGCATGGCCTAGGTATTCTGGCATCCCGTACGGCCAAAGCTCGCCAGAGACTTGAGGCGACATGTTGAATACCAGGAGTCACATGTGTTAAGCAACCAGCAAGACTCCCTCAAGGCGAAGGGCGAGCATGTTCTCTCCAGCATCCGAAGTCCAAGATTTCGTTTCGGTGGAAGAACCCCTGCCATCCAATGCTGCATCCTTCAAAGACAACACGAGGATTCGGTAGACAGATTTTCGACCGGTCGAGATTTAGCAACTAACTCGCAGCTGCGAATTCCTGGTACATGTTATTCGAGATTCGAGAAACTGTGGGTTCGTTCGCTGCAGTGTAGATGGGAACCTATCATGCCGAAGTACTTCCCAGTAGTGCTTCTCGTTCAAGAGCCATTCGCCTCGACTTGCGACGTTGCCTGAGTATTGCTGAATCGTCGTGTCTTCCACGGGGTACGAGTAGTTTCTGAACGTGGAGCAGCGTAAAGCTTTGCTGCGCAAGTCAACCCACCAAGATCGCATTCGGGTTCAATGGGCCCGAATCTACAGTAATCTTCGCGCATTCGGGTTGCAGGAGGCAGGTTCGAGCAAGTGAGAGCTTTGCGGGCTGCCTCTGAAGAAAAAAGTCGCATCAAGGATTACCGTCTTAAACCCCGTGTCCGAAGAACAAGACAGCAATTCGACACTGCAACGTCAAACGCGGCTTCGGCTGAGAAAGCTGCATTAGTTGCTCGCTCTTGAGACTTGCAGGCACAGTGGCGAAGTTCCCCAGCACTGCGATCTGTTGCATCGAGCAATAAGGCTTTCAAGCTTCGCACGAAGAAGTGCATCATGGTTTCCGGCCCACCCAGGGACAACGAGAAACAGTTGCACTCCAACATTTGGCTCCCACATTTGAGTCGAAGCTGTGTTCCTGTACATGCGTAAGCTTCAGCAGTGGCCTGGGGGTCTGGGGCACAGTAGCGATGAGCTTGGCAGCTTGTGTTTCTTCAGCAGACGATAGCCCTCGTTTGAGCTTCCTCGACGTTCAACATCGATCATGCCTGATTTATAAACCCCAAAACCCACAACCCTCGTTGCTGACCGTGGCGGTGTTGCCAGGCCTGTTGGTCCACCGAGCACTCGCCGCCAGCTCGGTTGGATGCCCCTCCATTCTGTGCCAGTGGTAAACATCAATGGAGCTTCATTTCCGGGGTTAGAAACACCCGTGCATGAGGAGTGGACTAGTATTTCTAGCAGCTTGGTTCCTGCGAACCCCTCCTGCACTCCCGAAAATCGTTGCCGCATGTGAAAGTGAACTAGACGGCATTTGCATCCAAAACATGTGACTCGCTGAGGACCTTCTACTACTACAATGAAGAGCGGAAGCATTCGCAGTGCCTTGCTCGCAGAGAAGTAAACATACATGATTCACTCGCGGGCCAGGTTGGGCTCAGCACTGCCCTGCAAGCCAAAGGAAATGCGTTGAAGGTTTGCCGTCGTTAATACCCGAAGCCCCGAGCTCGTGACTTTTTCCTCAAGTTAGCATGCTGCACATCGGAGTTCTCTGCAAACTCCACGAAACCCGGCCCGCAAATGTCCAGTCAGCTGCAGGTGGGAGTGGCCGCTGGAGGCGCGATGCTCTTTGGGCTGAGCTTTTCTGTGCAGTTGAGTCCACAAGACAACAAATTCAGCACGACAAGCCCTGCCGTGACCCGTCTGTATTATTCCGGCAGGGAGTTCCGGCTGACATGACCGACGCTCTGCTGGAGAGATTAGTCACAGAGGCTGGGCTTAGAAGGGAAGAGCCAGGGCTCGGGGTCTCAGGTGCCGACTTCCATCTTTGGCTCCCTCCGCTGCTCTCCCGCTCCGAACAAATGCACCTTCTCTCAGATCAAGAGTGCAGCTGGCTGCACAGAATACAAGGCCAAAGTCGCGCGTGGCACCCGGCATTCTGGTTGAAAATGAGCTTGAGCCCGGAGGAAATTGAAAAAGCCTTGCTTCCAAGGCTCATGGAGACTGGCTTCTCGCACCCCGCCGCATGTACGTGGTACCGGCACGATTCTGGCTGCCTTTAGGGCTGAGTCGGTTCGGCATTCGTCACAGTTCAAAGATTCTATCCCAAGCATGGTTTATGATGATAATTGTAGCTTTCAGGCACCCGCACGTTCGTTTTGACCGCCGTGCGCGGATGTTCTACAGGTCTTGCGTCGCATCTAATCTAAGGCTGCGCTTGCAGATGCATGGGTTATGTCCTACAGAAGGACCATCCAAATTCGATGCCCACTTCGTTTCGCACTTGAGCCCGGGCTGCCGTAACAGTCCCCGCCAGGCTCCTCTACGAGGAGCAGAAAATGATGGAGCAGGAGAGCGTGAGAATGGCAAGCTTCAGCACTCATACTACAGCACTACGCCAGCAGGTGCGCGTTCTTTTCGAATTGTCCATCCCCCGGAACATCTCAGACTGGATGACCAATTCCTGTGTCCTTAACCAATCATGATTCCGTCTAGTCTGTTGGACTGTAACTCTCTTGGTGTCAACTTGCTGTCAGCCTAGTACCTTTAGCACTAAACCGGGCTTTCCTGCGACATGGAAGAGACAAATAGCCGCTTTGAGGAGGCCGACGAGCGCTTCCAGGAGCTCAAGCTAGGCGAGGGTGGTTTCTTTCTGGCTTCCGCGGGGGTGGATGAAAGCGCTGTGGCAGTGTTCCCAAGCACGCTGCCCGGAGCTCAACATCGGGCCAGAACTTTTTGCAAGACGGGGCATGATCAAAGTCTTTGAGGCATGAGCTCGGAAAGATGTTTCAGTCGCGCTCCATCGGAGCTTCGTGTGGCTGCATCAACTATGCCCCTAGAGTGTCCGATGAAGATGCTCTGACTGAGATCCGCATGCATGATTGATGCCCAACGTTTGGGCACGATGAGAGGATGTCACAGAGAGAGAGAGAGAGAGAGAGAGAGAGAGAGAGAGAGACAGATATATATATATATATATATATATATGTATATAACTCGTCTCACTTTGTTCTTGAGAGATGCCCCAATCCCAGACCTAACCTAAAGCCCGCTGCCTTGCCCAGCCTTTCTCCAAGCATGGGGCCTTGGCCCTCTGGCAGTCTTGACGCAGGCTTGAAGCAAATGCATAGACAACAGGCCAGTGCAGATGTATCTGTGGGTTTATGCTGGCCTTGACAAGTTCTTCCCGGCTCTTGGCAAAAGACGATTGCAGAACAAGCTGCAGTGTGATGAAGGTTGAATAGGTCTTGTCCAGATCTGGCGCTCGGAGGAATCGCAAGTTGGGCATGTTTGACAGAGGTGACATGGCTGAGGTGTTGCAGCTGCATACAGGCCCTAGGCTCCAGGCCCAGACTAAATTGCCCCCAACATGGATGCAGGCGAGCGTGGAGAACTTCCTGGAAGACTTGGAGTACGTCAGCTCCACAGGAGTGCTTCACGCAGGGATTTTCCTCAGCAAGAGCAGCGAACCTACGGGTGCGCAAGGGAAGCCGAGCAGATTCGGTGCATGCTAAGCTCTGTGATCGTTGGCCCAGGTTTGCTGCGAAAGCTTCGTCTGCCACGAGGATCCCGGGAGTAGACTTGCGGCTCTAGGACTTTGGGGTTCCGGGTCTCACTGTCGAGCTGCTTTTTGGCTGCGCCTTTGGGGTTTGTTTGTTGGATTTGGCCCGAGTTTGTGTGTGTGAGTCCAGACTGACGTCAATCAGTGGTGTGAGTAGTTGGCTGCACGGGTAGGAGGTACAGACGGGTGAAGGGATCAGCGCTGGTTTGCGGAGAGTTTGGCAGAAGAACTGCTGTCGATTTCGTCGGTCCTGCACAGTATGCAACACTGCATGCAAGAGACATTTGATTTTTACACGGTATGCAGGAAGCCATGCGAAGCTCAGGTGCTCCTATGACGGTAGGGCAGCAGGGGGCTTAAAAAACGTTCCTTCTGTGCCTTGCATCGACGACTTTCGCCAAGTACTGGTAGCTTGAGAAGACCTCTCCCAAGCCTTTTCTGTAGCGGCAAAACGCCGAAGCGACCAGGAGGACGTCTGCTTGAGGGTGGTGAAGGGGGAGCGCTTGAAGCTCTACTACCAGGACCCACTGGAGGCCTCGGGTTCCCTGAGGGGAAGTCTGCGGTCATCTCTGAGGTGGCAAACAGATCCTGATGACCCACGCTCGAGTTTGTGAACCACGGAAGCTTTCACATGCGAGGAAGACCAACGCACTCAGCTGCAAAGAGTCTCGTCCAGTACACAACTCCAGGATGGGGGGCGCAGTTCATAGAAATTGACAAAGAACGGTTCCGCAATGTTTTGACATTGACAGGTACTTGATAAGAAGCGGTCTCATGGACCTTGGAAATTCTTAAGTTCAGCAACCGCTTATGTATTCGTGCTCCCGTTTGCCAGTCTGCCAAAATGTTTCTGCTTGCGAGTAACGAGAATGCTGCCTTGCGGAATCAGGCTGGGGACTTTGAGCAATGGGCTAAGGCATTTTCCCACAGGGCCCACCCATCTAGTCCTGGCTTCTATCCCAAAACCTCGCAGGCAGACTACCTGAAGCATGCCAGGTGCTCAGAATTTCAGGGCAGAGGCACAGGGATGTGCGAGACAGGGCCAAGAACTCACCCTAGGAGCTTTGCAGTCGGCCTACGCAAGGTAAGAGTTTCTCTGTTGAACCAAAGCATAAGCCAATCGTGGAGGCCCGGTGAGGACCCACATTGCACAAGCTTGTAGGCAGCGATGTCTTGTTGGGCCGTGTGCTAGCACCATAACGCAGGTCACAATAAACTCGCGCGCTGGTTTATTACATGCGTTTGATTGTTTGTTTTGTCCAGTTCGAAGCGATATCGAAAGCAGCATCCGAAGCAACCCTTGCAGCAATCGGTAGAGGTGTTACAGAATGAAATTTAATTCTGCAGAACGGACCCGCGTCCTCAACCTCCCTGTCGGTCACGCTCCGTGCTGAATCCTAAGGTCCTAGTGTCCTAGTCCTAGCTGAGACCGAGGCCGGCGAAGGCTGGGCCTACGTCGGCTTCAAAGCACTTCGGCTCGCAGCGAAAAAACCGCGGCTTCCGTGCGCTCTGGGCTCTCCTCTCAGAGAGGGAGTGGGTCCTGCCCATGCTAAGGACAATGAGAATACTCACGGATGGATACCCCAGGCCCGGGTGGCAAGAGTTGAACTTGAAGTGGCCTTGCGTTGCGCATTCAGATGGCAAGTCTGAAGCTTCGAGGAACTGTAGCTTTTTTCTGCAGGGCGCTTGTGAAAGCTGGTACTTCGTATTAGAGAGCGAAATCACAAGAACCCGCACGATGCGACACTGGAACCTTTTTTGTGGCTCCTAATATTCCAGACCGTGCCTGCCAGGAGTGCATGCAGGCGAGGGTCTCGGGCGTGGCTTCTTTAGAACGCCCTTGAGCGTCCCTGCGGTATGTGGCGTCCAGGATAGTCTGGAGTGTGAGGCTGAGGTGTCGAGCTCCGTTGGTTTGAGTTTTCGTGGGTTCACATTGTGACGCTCTCTCCGAGTGCAGCGTAATTGAAGCCCAGTGTGCGGAAGCAAGCAGGACTGCCGCAGCTAGCTGCTGGTCGTTTCCTTGCAAGTTCGAAGTCCATGTCGTCCAAGGTGGCGGTGAGGCCGCCAAAGAAAAGGGTGCAGTGGCAGAAACTTGGCCTGCAGACCCATGGAGTTTTCCTGCCTGCTTTCGGGCCTTTCCATATCATGCTGAACGCTTCCACCAAGGAGATACAAAGTGAGAGAGAGCTGGGCGGCGCAGAAGCGACACGACATCGACGGGCACCCCGGCCTTATCAGCAACGGAAATCTGTGCATCACTTCATGGCCTAGGTTCAATTCTGTCGGACGGACAAGCCATATCCGAAGGTCTTCCGAACTACCACTTTAAAGTGCATTCAGAAACCTCCGAGACAAACTGCAAGAGTCCGAGGTTTCTCCGTGTGGAGAAGGGGGACGAAATCGAAATGCTGGAGAACTTGGAAGCAGAGCATCCGGCATGTTCAGGTCTTCGCTGGCAATACAACAACTGGGTACCGGCCGTAGCCCGTGACTAAGTAAAGGTTTGCATTTTCACAGACCCGAAACCACAAGTCGTCATCGTCGTAATTCCACAGCTCTGATCAACTATGAGGGCAGCATCCCTGATCACAGCTGCGGCTCGCCGTTTGGTATATGCATCAGAAGACAGTGTAAGGCTTGCGACGAGGACGACACTGGCACAAAGCCCCCATCGTCAAAAAGTCATGCATGCAAGACGTCTCGAATTGCCAGGGCGCCTGTTCTTGGGCCGGGACCTGAGATGCTGATGTGCCCATGGCCGCTTGGCCTGCCATCACTGTGCCACGCCATTGCTGCACAGTATCAATCAAAGAGGCCAGCTACTTGTAGTCAGCAGCTAGCCCAACTGCCATTCGACAACTAGCAAGTAGTTTTTCATGTTCAATGTTCAGGTTCATCTTTGCCACGAGTTCATGCCTTTCTGACGGTCGGCAAAAGTTATTCCGTGTCTTCTGGCCGTGCTGGCAGGGAAGGGAACGACAGGTTTGACCGTGTACGTCACGTACCACATTGGGTCACACTGCGAAACGGCGCTCCGGAAGGAGCACTTGAAATCTAATCGCCACGGAGAAAAGCCTCACCTCTGGATGCCCTGCCTGCCTTGCCACATGTGCTCGCTGACCCCGAATTCGAGACCCAAAATCCTCGCGTTAGTTCGGCGTCGAAGAAAAGGTGTATTGCTTCGAAGTCGAGAGCGGCCTGGCGGGCGAGATCCCGGAGCCAAGGGCTCAGCGCGAGAGTTGCGCAAACGCTACAGAGAGCTAACAGTACTAAAGTTCAGCTAAAGCCGCAAGCGCCCGAAGTGTCGTCGCCAAGGCATTGCCTGGAGTGATTCCGACAGGGGGCGAAAGGGCCGGCCGGGCCCGAAAAGGCCCCAAAGGCGGCCGCTGGAGCTTCGATCATGAGACTGTCTTGTTCCGCTCTGAAGCCTCTGAGCCAGGCTTTGAACATCCAAGTCTCAGTTTCTGCTCGCTGAGCCTGACGAAAACATGAGCCGATGAGTGTCGAAATTTGCGTGCAAGCCCACCGTTTTGCAAACTCTGAGGGTCGGGAACTTGGTGAAATAAATTGGGTTTCAGGTGGGGAGGTGGCTTCTTCCTGGCAGCAGCTGTGTTGCAGCAGGCGTGCTTGTGAACAAGGTGTCGTGGAGAAGTTGAGCTTGACTTGAGCTCGAGCTCCGGAGAATGGGACTGTGATCAGCGAATCCTGAGGGCAATATCAAGAGCCTTTGTCGACCGTGTCCTCGGGGCTCAATGACAAGTCAGAGGTGGGTTTAGAAAGCGCACCGCTTGGTGTCCAAGTCTTTTGCTGTTGGACGTGTAACAAGCCTTCGCCCCTGCATGCAGTGACCGAGCAGAGCAAGAACAGCGAGTGAGGCTTGCAGGCCTGAGTTGCCCAAGAAGCAACACAGAGCCTGCCTATGCCTGCAAGCCGCTGCAGCGAAGCCTGAAACCAACAGTCACAAATAAAGACAAAGCAAAACTAAACCCTCTCCTTTGATCTTCGGCTGCCATGGCACTCGAGCTGGATGAGGTGCGGTCAAAGCCACTGCTGGAGTGGCATGGCGGCGATCGGAGCTTGCTCGATTGATCAATGTGCTAGGTGCCGGCTGAGCATTGATTGACAGTGTCCCAACCAACCATCTACAGGCTGCCAATGCCCTGCCTCCCTGACAATCGACGATCGAGAGCAACAATCGTGGGGAGCATGCTGCGAGGTGAAGATCCCTGCAGCAAAGCTACAGACTGGTAAAGAAAGCAGAAACATTGACAGATCCATGAAGCACCGAGATCCCCCCCAATTCATCAAAGGTCTGGTGGCTCGGAACCGCCGCAGCAGCCCGCTGCCAAGGATGCGGTGTACGCCGTGGCTTTCATGGGGGTCTGAAGAGTTACTGGTAGCAATGACATGCAACATATGCCTTTGTCGGCCCTCTGGAGTTGCACCCATAAGCCTGTTCTGGATTCAAACTGCAGCTCCATTGTTGACTTTGCTGTGGGAGACGTATGCCGGTGTGGGCGTGCCCATGCATTCAGGCTTGCAAGGGCTTGCAACTGTGTCTATGGGAACGGACGACAGCGTCCTTAGCGGCGTAGCCTTTCCTTGTCACATGAGGAGAGCCAGCATGGCGCTGCCGAGCAGGAGTCGAGGAGCATGTGGCGGCTTTACGCCCCATGAACCTGAAGGTTTGTAAGTAGGAACGTTTGAGGTTGAGAACACTTGAGACTTGCCCATGCCAACGGTTCTTGCACGTTGTGATCCCATGCCCTGGGCTGGCAAATGCAATGCTGGTGGCTGTTTGCATGCCCGCCATTCCTGCCGGTTTTGCACTCATGGTATAACGATGTGAATCGCATGTAAAGTCGAATTACAGCGGCTTGTCAGGTTTCCAATCGCGATGACGAAGAGACCATTCTTCAGCAGGGAAACTGTCTGGAACCGAAATCCTGCCCCAACAGCGGCCCGCACGACGGCGATGATCCCCAAGCCCTACTAAGCGAAGCTCGAAACCCCTCGAAGAAGGACCTCCGAGCAGCCCGCCTCGGTTTCCGCCCCGAGCGCCACAGCCTGCATCCCTCGCATGGCCGGCGAGGCATCTCAGTTATTGGACGTGTCCGTCACAAAATGCCGGGTGCCTCTATCTATCTGTGCTAGTTAGTATAACTAATATGTACACATATATATACAAAGTATACAAGGTGTTTTGTGTATATACATATACATACATTTACAGTTCCCCGTATACGTGTGTGTGTGTGTATACGCCCATGTTTCTAGTTACAGTAGTCGTGCAGTACTTCTATTTGCCTGTTTGTATTAGTTAGTTTGCTAGCCAGCTCGATGGTTACCTTTATTCATTTGTCTATTTGCTTGAAAATGTTCGAACTGATTATACGGATTTGTTTACCTGCATGCGACTACTCATGTGCTCTGTTTGCTGCTCACACGATAATTGGCTAGTGTGAAGTAGTTTTACTAATCCTAGTGAGCGGGTGTTGTGATCGGGCAGTCCAGACGAGGCCTCTAGCAATCACAGAAACTCGTGTTCGCTGGTGAGAGTCGTTTCTTCATATTCCGAGCTAAACCTGAGCAAGGATGATTCAATCATCATTCCTGCCGCGCAAGGACACAGGGCCCGCACCAGACGGGGGCCCATTGCGAGTAACTCATGTGAAGGTCCGGGCCTCGACAGACTTGAGTTGCAGGCTTGGCACAAAAAGTCAAAGGTTTTGCACACATCGAGAAGGTTTTATCCACGCCATTGCAGGAGCAGCGGATGGTGAGTACCCCATGAAAGCTGTCATGCATTGGCAGATGCAGAACCCTCATGCCAAAAATGAGGTCGAAGGGAAAACCACCGTGCAGCGCATAGAGCTGACTTACAGCGACGGCTCTTTGTGGCCGAGCGGCATTTCCAGTCTCTTGCGCTTCGAAAAGCTCACCGGCTCGTACCCGTCGCGAAAAGTTCAAGCAGATACTTCCAGAAAGCCGTAAACTCTTGTCGCTACTCCCTGCAATTCTTGAGGTGGGCTATGGGCCCGCCTCTGGCTGGCGGCAAGAAGCAAGTGAAGAATAAGAGGACACCCGGCCCTGCACGCTGGAAGCAGGGGATTCAGAGGCTCAGGGGACGAATGTCGGACCACATCGACATCATGCTATGCACAGGCAGCACTGAGATGTACATGCGGCAAAGCTGCGACTCGTAGGCTTCGGGCTTGTCGATCGCCCTTCCCTTTCAGCAAGATGCACCGTCGACTTGAAATGAGCGAAGATAGCTTCCCTCCCCGGAGGAAGATGGACGATGGTGTGAAGATCATGGTTCCTGGGATAAACAGCTTGGGTCGAGCATTTTGGAGATCGCCCACAGAGATGGACCTCTCAGAGCAGGGTACCTTTAATTGGCTAGGGCTAGACTTGGGGTGTTCGGAAAAGGCGAACTCCCTGAGGCCAGGATCCCGGACACGCGTCACCACGCCACTCACATAAAGCCGTAGATGCAGAAAGCGGAAGGCACAGTCCCTGAGTGGTTCCTTCCCAGGTCTTGAGCGACGACGAGACCTGGCAATGAAGATGGGGAAGCCAGTAGCTTTCATGACTGCTCGCATGGGACAGAGACTTGAAGACAGAGACGCAAGGATTCAGGGAGAAGCAGCAGAGAGCGAGAGAGAGAGAGAGAGAGCAGCAATACCTGGCAACAGCTCGGTCTGGCTCAAAAGCTGTGACACGGGAAGGGGCTTACCGGCAGAGAGGGAGCGAAAGAAAAAGAGCCTTGGGGGAGGGCTCGGCCCTTAAAAACTCCGCGGAAAGAAGAGAGAGAGAGAAAGAGAAAAAATAAAATAAAAATAAACTTGATGTGGTAGTTCTTGATGGGGCTACGCCCCGCCGGATCTCTAGCCGTGCGGCTTGGTGCAAGCCCATGTTCGGGCACAGCAGCGGCGGGTTTGGTACAGGGTGCAGGAGTGTACCATGCGAGTCTGCTTTTTTCCCCGCTGATGTGAAGACTTAGCCAAGGAGTTCATCACCGTCGCCTGGCTGACTGTCTTGTCGCTGCGAAGCGTGCAGCGCTATGGTTTGCTGATGTTCCCCGGGGATGATAGGATGCGGGCTCTACATGGCTTTGTCCTACTTTCGAAGGGTTGGTAAGGCAAAGTTCGAGATAATGGACAGGTCGGCATGCAATCGAGAGCCTATTGGCCCATCGAAGATCTCGGCCGTGTGACCTCGCAAACTTGTTGTGCGTATCGAGAGTCCTCTGGATCCAAAAATGGTATGTCGCAGTCAGGAACCTCCACTGAAACCCTATACCGAGCAAAATCGAGACCTCAATGGGGCCGATGACGAAACATGACGAAAGCACGAGTGGGTAGTCGTTGCGTGCTTTGCCGATTACATGGAGTTATTCGTTTGGCCCTTCATGGGGCCTTCTAGGGTTGGGGCTCTCGGTGCTTCAGCTTTCTTGCAACGCCAGTGAGCAGCCTTGGGAGGAAGTGAAGCATGAGCCTTTGCTCCAATGGTGGTGGGTTGGTGCGGCTCTCGAGCTGCGAACCAACAAAGGCGGGCGGCCTTCCAGGGGGACTTCGGTAGGGCTCTTCGGCTGAAGGTTGTCAGCTCGGATTCGGATAAGGCTGCTCTGCAAGCATACCTTCGATGTCCGAATGATATGAGCTTCAGATGCAGTCGACCGTGCTCATCGCCGCGCGAGTCAAATTGACAGTAAAGTTGCGAAACTGCAAGCATACCCTCCCTTTTGACAGATAGATAGGCCAACGGCCGATGCTGTATGCCAGTAACTAGGCCTTGCAGCCATCCCATGCCATTGTCGAGTCGGACGCGGTCCGCAGTGGGTAACCCCAGCTTCAAAGCAACACACACAGAGCTCCCGAGCCAGCCGAAGCAACGGGCAACACGCAGCCTGCTTGGCAGGTCGTTCACTCCAGGCCCTTGGCACCTGGTCCTCGGGCTTCGAGGCGAGACCAGACCCGGAAGTATTTGTACCCGTCATGACATGCTTCGCATCCGAAGAAGCAACGGCGGCCAACATTCTCAGGAGCTCCCGATTTCAGCAGGAGTTTTTGTGTGAATTAAGCAAGAAGGGCTTGTCAGTTTGCGGCTCGCAGCTCGCAAGGCCAACACGGACGTATTCACTGCCTCGCCGGGCTGCGCCGTGCTTGGACTCCGCCTGCACAACGGACGCCACCTGATTGCCTCCATGGTTTGGAGTCCGGTCAGAAGGTTACCAAGGTTTCGCTGCAGCACGTAACATTCGCAAAGAAAGACTAAGCCTGCAAGCAATCTCCAAGCGCGTCTTGATGCTGAAGAGACACGAAGAGACCAATCCGAGGATGCCACGGAATTATTGAAGGCCCTGCTCCGGAGGTTGATGAGCTGGAGCTGACTCACGGCATAAGCTTTGTTCTGAGGTCCTCTGTTTTCTCAATAGTGTGACCTATAGATCTTTCAGCTGCAGGAAACCGCACACGAAAACGCCACACAGTGGACGAAATGTGTCTGGTAGGCACGAGGCAGATAGCAAGAAACCAGGTGGAGACCTGCGTTCAATGCAAGTCCGAAGCTGGTGACTGGTGCTTGACACTGGACCGAAGCCTTAAGACATGACTCTGCCCTCGGAGATGCTTGAGTTTCAGGAAGCTTTGGGCCGTATATTGGCTGGCGGAGGGCAGCGCAGATGACGAGATCCAGAGCCGAAACTTTGTAGGCCGCGTCCAGAATCGGGAGCGGCTTCGCCAAAGCAAGCCTTATCAAACAGCAGTCTTAGTCAGGAAGGGGAGCTCGGTTACATTTCAGAAGCTGCACCGTTGGAGCGCACCGCAAGACGATGAGGTTGAAGCCAAGCGTCTGTGGGCAACGACCTACGTCCATGATCCCTTCGTTCCGCAAGCCAAAGTGCAGCTTCGAAGTTCGCTTCAACTGTAAATCTCTTTTGTCAGGCCGGGAGTCCGCGTTTAGCTTCGCCGAGCGAGTCGGTGGAGGCCACGAAATGGCGTGGCAGTGCGGACCCCTGAGGCTGCGGCTGGGAGAGGAGGATGTCAGGTCCAGCAGTCGAGTACATGTATTTCCGCTAATGAAAATTGCCGGACTTAAGCGATGTTTGTGCCGTGGGATACATGGCAAAACCCTTATTGTAAACCCTCCCAGGCCCTTAGGAAGCAATCAAGTCGTTTCAGCACTCGCATCCTGTCTACAAACATCGCCTATTTGCTGGTCCACGCTGGTCTCAGCAGAACGAATCCTAAACAACAAGTCAGTTTCCACCCATGCTATTGATTCGCTCACACCTAGTCGCCTAGTCCTTTTCCTCCTACGGTTATTCGCATGCATACAGCCGATGTTACCACGAGGCGTAGTACTGGCACCAGAAATAGTGGCAAGACGTGTGTGGATACGTGAGGGCTCGGTGCGTTCATGCATCCATCTATCCGCTTGCTTCTTGGCTTACATATGATCTCTGCAATGCACTCGCAAGCCTGCTGAGAGTTCTATTTGTGAAAGGATTCGCCACGTATCTGCTGAACTCCTTATTGCTGTATTGCTGTGTACCGAGACTTCTTGCGCTGGCTAAGCAGGTCTGAAAAGAGATATCCAGATCAACCCGGGTGCGAGTGCCAAAGCACATGAAATGCATCTATATGCCAATCTGGCAGCACCTGAACAAAGCGCAGGCTTTCCATCTCCGACCACCCTTGGCTGGACTGCTTCCGGGACCTGCGAGAGCTGCTACAGCCGGCGAGGCTGGCAGCGCTGGAGGCCGATGTCAGAAACATTTTTGGCGGTGATTTCCCACGAGAGTTGAGAGCGAATATCAGAATCCAGTACGTCCTGTGGCACTACCTGATCGAGTTTCTAGAGTTGCCCGAAAGGGCCCCCTTTGTTGCATGATTTGCCATCTAGTTCCGTCAGTCGTGACCATCATGGTTTCACATGCCGGGTTTGTGAGGCACGCGAGGTCGCAGCACAAAACGAGTCCTACGTGGAGTTTGCGACAGGGGAGCGATTCGCAGCAGGCCAGCTCCGCTCAGTGGATTTGTTTTTTGAACACCTTCTCGAAGAAGCGGCATGTTAAGCTGTTTGGGGCCTACCTTAGTAGGGCTCCCTTATTTCTGACAACTTCCATGTTCCAAGATTGCCATGTTGGAGCTGCACTTCTTGTTTCCGAGGACTTGGGCAATTGATTAAGGAATCCAGCACAGAACACTCCTGCGTTGCACTCCAATCCCCTGATTTTCCAGGCATCGTCCTCGACTTGGTCAAGACGTCGCGGGTCAAGGCTAGTGCAGAACGGGGCAGAAGCCGTGACCGAGAGCGCGGTCCATTTCGGACCAAAAACCTCCAGACGTTTAGAAAGGGACAAGAGCAGCCTTAACCTTGATTAGCTGATTGATCATGTTCGAATACACTGAGCTTATCCGACGAAGTCCTCGACTACCAGTACGTAGCGTGGCAACATGCTACTCAGAGAAGGTGTTCAGCGCCGAATGTCAAGCTAGAGACCGCCCCGGCCACTCCTAAATCCATGAGGCAGCCCTCATGAATGAACCTCCTTCCGAGATCCTACCATTCAGACAGTGGGGCGATTGTAAAAAAGACGGGATTCAATTTACAGGTACTGGTAGCCTCTAGGAGCTGTCAAAAGAGCTTTGCAAGAGAGGCCTGGGGACCTCATGCGCGTCGCAAGAAGTGTGAGGAGCTGGCAGCCGAGACTGGACTAAAAACTGTATCGCACATGGTAGCTTTGCCTTTCGGGTTTCGGTTCCGGATGGTTCACAAGGGATATAGCTCTATCATGCGATTATCTCCAGGATTTTTTGCAAAAGAAGGTTCGGGAAAGCATGTAATACGTGCATCTAGACGTGCACGCGTTCTGAGTTTAAAGACTATGATTCTATGATGCTTTTCTTTCCAGCCACACTTTCTCCCGCAATGCACCTGGCATGTTAGGACTAGCGCAGGGGAAGCAAAGCTGTAGCAGCCTTCTGGGGGTGCCTGCGCTGAGGAACAGGGTCAGTTCAACCTCAAACGCTGGCGCGACATGTCCGTCTCCTTCGCGGAGATCATGCACAGAATACAGCCGGGAGCGCAGCAAGGGCAATGGACGGCAAGCAGGTTGTCAGAGGGTTGAAGTCGAGGAAGCTTTCATTGAAAGTCACACGATGGCGAGGTCGGTGAAGCCGACGCTGGCCCGTCTTGTGGCCATGATGGACTTGAGACGGCACCTTTTCAGGACGGGGGAGATGAGCAGAACGGATGGGGCACTGCAGTTGCGCTTGGCAAGGACGCTGTTCACAGCAGCCATTGCAGCGGTCATGAGCACTTGCGACAGCGTGACACGGCTTCATCGCCATGCATTCCGGATTGCTGTGCGCATCGCACGGGGGTCTGAAGACGGAAGGTTTGACTTATTCATACATTCTCCCATGCGAAACCTTGCAAAATCCGGAATTTGAACAAGACTGACTACTTTCCCCCTGGTTTCCTACAAATCCGGTAGTCAAGTTACTGTGCGACTCACCGGCTACTTAGGCTACTTGCCATGTCCAAATCACGATGCCGTATTTGCGCAGCCTGAGAAGTCAGGAAGCATGTTCACTGGACAGAAGAGGGCCCTGACCTGGCTTGCATGGTGTTTGAAGGTCAAGACGGTGCTGTCCGGTGCGGTGTTCACGCTGATCAATGCAAGCATGCTGGCAGCATCCGAGTTAAGGAGTCTTGTGCTCCGGCGTTTGAAAACCCGACTGGCACAGGGCCAGAATTCAAGCTTTGCTCTCGACTTGCTACGGCTGAGGCGAAGAGGAGGTGAAGAAGGACAGCCAGTACCTGCATGCCATTTGCTCCTGGACTTTCGGCTGTGGCTCCCGCACCTTTCTCGCAATGGGGTGGCCCCTGCCCCCGGAGGCCCCCTCTTGGCTCAAAGGCCAGCCACCTCATCAAAGAAGACATCAAAGCCCAGCAAAACAGATGGATTTCGCGCGGTTGCAATGCAAAGACGATTGGATACACTAGTCAGTGCCAGAAAGCCCAAAAAGCAGAGCACTCTGCGTCCAAGGACTATCCCTGGCCAAGAGTTTGATCCTTGGCCTGATGTTGCCACTGGGCTGTGACAGCTTAGGCCGTTTCAGGCCTTGGGTGGTGATGGCCAGGGGCTTCCATAGACATCTGTTCGAAGCGGGACGAAGGATCGCAGGCAGGGCTTCGCTCGCTTCCGGATCGCACATCCCAGACTTGCAACTGCAGCTTCTTTGGCCGTGGCCTCGCTACACCACGCTCCCAGCCGAAAGGGAGCTCCGGACTTGCTGGCTGTGATTGGGATTGTGTTCTTGTCGGTTGACTGGGTTTGCTTTCTACTGTCGCACCCTGTGTTTCTTGCGTCTGACAAATGCTAAGCTGCATCCCACGCACCGCTTACCGGAATCCTGGCCATCGTTCGTCCGAGAGCGAGTGCTGAAATCCCACATGTGAGAGAAAAGAGTCGCAAACCCGAGACCTCGACACTGAGTGAGCGGCGGCGATGTTAACACATAATATCTGGACGTACCAAGAAGAAGCAGACAGGGTGGGGCGAGGGCTGCCAGTGCCAGTGCGTAATGGCTCCAAGTATTGAATTATTGGGACCTTGGTATATGTGAGTCTGGTTTTTTGGTGAATCTTCGTTGTCCATGATGTTTGAATTCATAGAGCTTCATGCTTTCAGTCAAACTCCTCTTAACGGCCCTAGCAGAAAGCAAAGCGCACAAGCAACATGTATCCTGGTCAGATGAGCCCAGGCAGAACACTGAAGAGACTGAAACACACCCCCATTGCGGTCCAAGGCTTGCAGTCGTGAAAGGCACCGTCCACGTCGTGTCACAACATGTGGCCAAGGCTTTCAAGGATGGGGAGAGTTGCTCTTCTTGCGAGTGTATGAAAGATCATAGAGCACCAGGGTGCAGATTTTCAGTGTGGCCGAACTTGCCTTCAGGCTTCAGGGCTGGTTGCACTGACCGAGGCTGCTGAGAAGTTGATTCACTTCGGGCGGGCATCGAATGCCCAAGGTAGAATGTCGCATGCCTTCACATCTCAATCCAGGACTCGTACCGCGTGCAGACTCGAACTGAGCTCTTCGATCACTTGCTTGCCCAAGACTTGGCTGCTTGGTCGCCGTTCAAAGCTGATTCGGGCACTGAGTGCCAGAGGTCAGTTTGCGAGGGAGGTCATTCGGTGTGCCCATGTGCGCTCTACAGTTTGTTCGTCTGTGTGTCAGCAACTGCCTCAGAACTGAGGAAGAGTTCGAAAAGCAGACAGCGCGGGTCATGGCTCATAAAGCTTCGCCGGTGGTGTTTCTGCTGCATACAGGAAAGGCAGCAATATCAGCAATATGCCACTAAGAATAAGAAAGCAGCACAGTCCCAGGTACAGGCTCTCTTGTGCTACGTTGGGTAGGGGGCATGTGGGCGTCTGCGTTTACAAACTTGCTTCTGGGTGGCCCAAACGATCCAGGGCCTTATCAAAGAAAGTAAGGTTTCGAACATGAACAACAAGATAGCCGCATGTCCCGTGCACCCCTTGCCATTAATCAGCGATGGGAAGAATTGAGCTACACTGCTGTTGCCGCAGCATGTGGACAAATGTACACATTCCAGAGAGTCTCTTGCCCTAGCTTTCGTGGACCCCTTTTGGATTCGGCAATTGCAGCCCACGAAAATTGCACACACCGTTTGGCGATCTGGCTGTACTGATCATGTGAGGGCAGGCGGAGAGTGCCTACTGTACACGATGAGAGGCGTCGGTTCATGTCGATACTTCGTCACTCAAGCAGCCAGACGTTGCACAAGTGGTGCCAGTCCAGTAGAAGCCAACAGAGCGCCGACACATGAAGATGGGTTACACGCTGCCCAAGGTCATGGACAGCATGCCGAACATGGTGACGAACATGGTTCGCACCGTTACCGAGTTGTTAACGTTGCTCGGCTTGCCTTCAGAAAGGTGCATGAGCCGATTCGAAGATGCAGCGTAGAGGGGTTCTACTTGAGAGCAGATGCGTTGTAAGCATGTTATCCTCCCGCCATGTCCGCAGGCACAAGTGCATAGAAACGCATCTTTCCCAAAACGAGGTCGCTTATCTTCCTTTACTCGACGCTCGGCCTTTGATTTGGGCGCTTGTCTTGGGTCTGACAAAATGGATGTCGACTTGCAAGCAACCCAACCTTGTCCTGAGTGGATTCTCAGGATTTCGCCGCTGATGACATTCATGTACGCAACTGCGGTCCCTGCATTCCAAGTGGCAGCACAGGCATACCTTAGAAACTTGGACCGCAGCGGAGGTTGCTTAGGGTAAGAAAGACAGACCATCTGAGCCCTCCAAGCAGTTCAGCCATCAGCTAAGTGTGTGTGTGTGTGTGTGTAATCACTTGATTGGCTTCACAATTTCACAAGTTCGAAGCTCCAGGGAAGCAAGCAGTGGGCAGCCAAAGACGTGAGCGTGGCCTGGAAAACGTGGCGAATCGCGTCGTGGGGGAGGCTTGTGAGATGATCAAGGTGGATGCTTGGTCCGAATAGATCCTGTTTCTGCAAGATAACATGTTCAACATACACAGGTGAGGACAGAGGGGGTGAGAGAGAGAGAGAGAAAGGCAGCTAGGTTAGGTGGGGGTGTACAGAGGGGATCTGGGTTCCAACGACCCAGTTCTTGACTTGATTCCTTTTGTCGGAAACCCGACTCTTTTCTTCCGGGCATTGTCCCATAGCGCACCACACCAACATCGAGCAAGGGGCAGCTCCACGACTGCCTGCATCCATGCCCTGAGCAACGCAGAGAGTAGGTGCCCTTACTGTAGGACAGGAAATAGGGTGGCAGCAGGGAGAGCAGGAGGGAGATGGAAAGCTGGCAGAAGCGCAGTGGGGGAGATTACGAATCTGAGCTTTGGCTTCTACCAGATTATGCCTGCCAGAGGTCAAGACGTTCTCGCGCGAGGCAAGCTCCGGCATGCCCAAGATTTGCACAAGTTTTGCACGCAAATCTGGAACTGAAGAGACAGTTGCAAGTTCGAAGTTTCATCAGGTTTATGAAGTAGCGGCAGTAGCATTCAGGCTGCAGGAGAGCATGCCAGGCTCTGACCGTGCTTGTGAATGCAAGCTTTTCAGAAGCCACCACACGCGGACGGTGCACCATGCGTTTGTGCCAGTTTGTGCTGTACACGGCTCCTGTGCCAGGACTGGCTTCTTGACTCGAATGAGTTTGCCTTCCGCTTTCCTCCACTGGCTCCTGCCAGGTTGTCATGTTTAGAACCTAGGATGTCCAACTGAAGGTTGCTTTCCTGAAGAATACAGAGAAGAATTCAGGCTTGAGATTTCCGGTGTTAGTCTTTGAAAGGTTTCCGTGGTACCACACCGTCCTTGAAATGTAGGTGGCAAGAGAAGCTCTTGTCCTTAGCCCCTGCGGAGTGTCAGAACAGCCTGTTGTTGACCCCACCATCGCACACAGCACTTCTTTCACCGAGAACTTGATCGGAGAATGAGCTTTTGACGCTGAGCCTCGAGAACGTTGCATCTAAGGCACACATCACTGCAGCGGCTCTCACTGGAAGAAGCCTCCGGGATGAAGCTCCCCGGCGCCAACACTCGCCGGTACGCCAAGAGCGAAGCAGTCCCCAAGCATCCGCAAGTTACAGACAGTACTTCTACACACATATGTATATAGGTATATACTATATACACATATCTTAGCAAGCTTGCGCCCCTGGCTGCAAGTGCCGAGGCTGACGGTCACTCAAGGGGTCGCACAAGTTGCGGCCGATACCTTACAACAGGCCATCTACTGCTCCCTGGAAGTATTCAGCTGCGACAACTTTGCCATGCACTTCTTAGGCGATGCGATGTTTGACTTTGTTTCGATCCTGCTGCATGAGCTGTGTCATGGAAATCTTTTGTACACAGCCAGATATATGCGTCGATACCCGCGCTCACTGCCACCAAATGCCATAAGCATCGAAGCCAACTTCCAAATGCGAGGCTTTTCTCTCTGGGTGGGCTTAGTTTGGGTCAACGTCGACTCCTCAGCTGCGGAGATGACGTCCTTCCTGCGGCCTGGACCATCAAGAGGGCACTTAGTATGAACCTTTTTTTGACATGCCTGCTTATGTACACACTTGTACGCACACATACGTACATGCATGCATTTACATAGAGGCAGGAAGGCGGACCACTTGCGTCTCTCCGCAACTCTGCAAACGTGAGTGTAAACTCATTGATTGCATGAGTATTGCATGTATACACGAAGTCGTCGGCCGTAGCAGTACAGGATACATACACAGATATGCATACCTACGGGACTCGCTAGCCACGCGCGACTTTCACTCGTGGATGGTTTCGGTGTTGCTGCGGGCAGAGGATGTCCAGGCCATGTCGTTCCGCAGATCCGGCCTGTTGCTCTTGGACCTGACGACAACCATGTCATTTCAGCTTCCGATCTACATCGGTCCATAAGCATTCACAGAGTTTGGACACCAGTCCTCCACTCCGTTGAAGAATTCGGTCGGAAGTTTTGGCGACGAGCCTCTAGCATGGAGTTGAGTCTCTCTGCATTCTGCAATTCAGCTTCTCCAATGCAAGAGCTGAGGCTGCTCGTGAGCAAACTGGGCCACCAAGTGACTGGACTTGCAGGATTTCATTGCGCGTTGAAAGCTGCAGTACTTTTTTGTCGTGCTGTCTCCAACGAAAGTTCCCCTGCTCCTTTAATTGGGCAACAACTCGTGTTTCCAACGGCCTGTTCGTGACCAGGGTTTCGGGCAGGAAGGCTAGAGATGTTCGCAATGCAGCCCAGCAGGCAGTACTCGAGCGTGAGTAAGCGACTAGATTCCTGCAGCCTTCGAGCGATGTTCCTTTCGACCACAAGAGAGTCCGCAGAGTAGACGCCTCGAGCAAAAGGCAAGCTCTGCTTAAGAACTTCTCATTCCGCTTCTTAGTAGAAGTCCCCCTTGTTTGCTCTTTCTGGCTGTAGGTCAACAGCTTCAAGGCCCAGGTCGAGGACTGCTTTCGTCTCCCAGTCGGCGGCACAGGTTTCGGTACTTCTCTGGGGCCTTCTCTTCGTCTCTGTCCGCAGCTCGTTCAAATCGTACAGACATGCAAGCTCGGGCTTTCGTCTGTTCCCAGAAATTCAGAAATTGCTCTGTATCACGGGAGAGGTCGTGGTGTGTGCGGGATTCTCATCCAGAGTTTCGGGTAGTGTTTCCTGCTTCACTCCCTTTGCAACATAGCTTCGACAGGTTGGTTTCCAGGTGTTCGGGAGAGACTATCTTCCTAGCGGTCCCTACACAACTTGAAGATCTGCCACGAAGTCCCTGGCCTTCTCAGCGAGTCTTGAAGATGAAATGAGTTAGAGCGATTTTGTAGAAAGGCAACTTGAAGAGATCCGCCTCGAGATTCCGAGATTCGGCAGGACTTGTTCAATCGTTCCGACAACTTGGCCGAGCACTTCGAGTTCTTAGACCAGCAGCCAAAGATTTTCCCAGGCCTGGCTTCAAAGCAGGGTTTCGTGGGAGTCGGGCTTGCGAGGCTTCGGGACTCGTCTTGGCGGAGTCGCACATTCTGTTTTGAATTTTGTGGAGCCTGTGATTGGATTTGGGGAACCGCAGAGCTTGCCGGCTTGCTCAGGCACTTATGACGGCCCAGTGAGTGGGGAAGTGAAGTTTGAGGACACGGAGCTGAGGGGGATGCAGCGGAGCTTGCTTGCTTTAGCAGACGCCATGAACGCATCGCGACACCGGCTTGGACCCTGGGGTAGTCATGGCACATGAACCTTTTTATGGCCTTGGCTTTTCTGCAGACGTTGATCGGCTGCTGCTGAAGGGCCCAATGATTACTGGATTCGGATCACCCAGTCGTTTTTCCTGAATCTGCCCGGTTCTTGCCGTCGAGGATGTGTCCTTTGCTTATCCCACGCGCCCCGAGCAGATGCTTGGCCTCTGCTTCGGATGGAACTAGAAGGGCTCCATGGGATCCGGCGGTGGGACCACGGGATCCCAAGCGTCTCAGAGGAACTCTCCGTGCCCCGGCTAAGGAAAGTGCTCCATGAGCTCTCCATGGAGCTGCAGCCTGGAAAGACCACGGCCCTGGTTGGCGCCTCCGGGTCGGGCAAGAGTACCACAGTGAAACCTGGCGCAGGATCGCAAAATACCACCAGTTCTTAACGAGGCTTAATCCTACAGTTTTACGCTCAAGGGAAGGCCGGGAGGGCACCGACAACCACACGCACACACGCACTTTACAGACCTTGATGTGTTTCTTTTTTTGCGGGCCCTGTTGTTGTAAAGTTGAGATTCACCTCTCATAGTCGTCCCGGTGGGTTTCTGAGCTCAGGCAGCTCATCTTCCGGTACTACGATCCCCTGGCTGGTGCTATTCTTATCGATGGAGTCCCGATGAAGGACTGGGATTTGACACACCTTCATCGGCACATGGTGCCCGGGCTGCCAGACTAGACTGCTTCTTTGCTTCCTTGAGGCTCCGACATCCTCCAAGTCAGAAGCTGATTTGAAACCGGGGTTGTTTCAGTTTGTGCTGGATAGTAACCCCGAAGCACAACCGCTCTGCTGGCCCTTTCCCTCAAGCTCGCAGTCACGCCAGCTCCGAATCTCTGGCTTGCCTGAGGCGCTCGTTGCACAGGAGCCCGTGCTCTTTAACACTTCCGTGCGGCAAAATCTACTGTGACTCGTTTTTGCGACGGCGCAAGGCTTCGAGCTTCGGAGTAGCTTTCATTGGTGGCAATGGCTGGTGTTTTCTCAATCAGTCCGCGGTTTTCTTGCGCAACAAATGCTCCATGTAGCGATAGCAAAGTAGAGGGTCTGGACATTGGTGTGACTCGCTTGAAGATCTGTGCACGTACAGCTGTCGTCTCAAGTGAGGTATGGCTTGCCACAGTGCCGCATCGATTCGGATCCCAAGGACTTGATTTGCGCGGTTTCGGCAATATTCCATGAGTTGAATGGGCACTTGAGTTGATCTTAGCCCGAGCACAAAAGTCTCTGCTTGGGGGACGGAAGGGGCAAGTAGGCCTGCGAATACAGACACAGCCGTCAGATCTCTAGCGGCTCCACCTGCGGAGCTACATCTTGTTCTCAGCCGCAACCCAGCGAAACTTACACTCGTTTTGGGCATGGTCCACCCATAGACCCACTGCAGCTGTAGGTCCTGAGCACTCATGCTCGGATAAGGTAGCTTCCGCTTCCCGGGCCACGCCATTGATTTGTTCCCATGAGGACTTCGAGGATCAAGTCATCGAAGCTGCGAAAGCAGCTTGTGCACACGAGCCTCGGCCATTCTAAGAGTTCATGTTGCAGGATAGTTCTTCCCAGGTTCTTCCAAATAGGTGCTTCGTGTTCTGGCCTCAGTTTGGTGGTCCTGTTGCTCTCTTATTTCTGTCGGAGCATCAGCGACCACTTTGCAAGCTTCGCCATGCCCAGCCACAGGGACAACAGCCGCTGCACGCACCCATGAACGTTTCTCAAAGGTTTTGCTTGGGAAGCGAGGCAACGATGTTTCCTGGCTCGTTTGCGTCGCCGTTCATCAGTGAGCTAGGGAACGATGGAACACTCCCGGAACCCAGTCAAGTCTAGACCCAAGGGTTTTGAGCCAAATGTATTGTCACTGTAAAGTCCACTACCGTAAGGAGACTCAGGGCCAGCAGAACCGAATGCCTCAATGAAAGTTCCAAGTTTAGGGTTCAGGGTTTAGGGTTTGGCTTTTGACCACTGACGTTTCCAAACGGAGTACAGCCTCCCGCTGACACGAGAGGCTGTACTTTGTTTGGAAACTTCAGTGGTCCAAAGCTTCAGTGGTCTTCTCGAGCAAACATCTGGCTGGCACTGACCTTTTAACTGCTCCATCTGGAGGCTGGACTCCTGCGACTGACAAATGTTGGTACATTTCTGGACCAAGGTGTTGGTGTTAGCGGCACTGTGGCTTTGGAAAACTTGTTGGAGGCTGCACTCCTGGTCTTTGCAGTGGAAACAAGGAGACGAAATTGTCCCTGGATGGATGCTGCACGATCTCTTTGTGCTGAGCCCTGTGCTGGTTAATACTGGCTTTGACAGCTATTGCCATCTCGCCACGCTCAACGTGACCTCGTTCATTACTTCGGCACAGGCAGACCGTGTGGGCGGCCAAAAACCGAAAAACAAGCAAAAAAAGCTGACCTACTCGGATACGCCTACATTCTGAGCGGTGCTTCGTTGTTGCAATTAGGTGGCTAGTGGCAAAAATGACACTGTTTTCGAGAATGAGACGTGCTTCGAATGATGCGGACACCACAGCGTTACAACAACAACGGGGATGAAGCCAGTTTTGGCACTTCACATGGGTCATCGTTTTTGGCTGGATACCACATATTCTCTCAAAGCTTGGCGTGGGCAATCCATGTTGACTTCGAGAATACGTAGTTTCTGACCAAAGGCAGACTGAATGAGTGCAATCTGGCTGTTGCTGCAGTGATTTCTTTCGTCGAGGGCATTCGGTCATAAGTTGCAGACATGAGATGAAGGGATTGTACAGCCACTTTTGAGTTTGCTAGGATGCCAAGGTCCTGAAACTTGGAGGACTGGGAACAATTGGTATCGCCAGGATCTCCAGCAGTGAATTCTGGAACTGGGCAGTCGTTTAAGATGTCCGCCGAATTGGCTCTGTAACAGCGCCTCTCATGCAAGCACCGATTAGCTCCTCAACAACCTCGCTTGTGGACATTGTTGCCAGCCATGTGAGAGGGAAAAAATGAATGTTCTATGACGATGAAACTCTTCACGACCTATGCCTGGCGATGCCTAGAGCATAGACGTGGGAGCTTTAGTGGGGGCCTCCAGCCGGTGCCAACGAGCGGTGGACCCAAGAAGAAGAATCCAGGAGCTGCGACATCGGCCCATGGCCGTAAGAGTAAGAATGTCAACCAAAAGGAGCGGACCATCGGAGGGTTCTTGCCCTGGTCTTCTTGTAGCTTATACCGGACCAATGCCAAATACGTGTACTCATACCTAGTATGCTGCACTGCACCATACTTTGTACTCACGGCATTCGACTCCGACGACCCACCGGAATCCCCTCAACTGCGAGGACTGCTAGGATGAAAGGAGGATGCACGCAACCAGACAAACAGAGATTCTGAAAGACTACAATGGCAACAAAGAAGGATTTGCCGTGTCGCTCTCCGCGTGTAAAACAAGCTGTGAAATCGAGCTTTCTTTCCCGGCTGTTGCACGTTTGTTTTGATTCCCTCAGCCAACATGAGAACCTAAGCCATGGATCATTCGCAGCAGCCTCGTTAAATGGCAGTCACTGAAGTCGATACAGCATGCTATTTTTGGGCATGTGAAGTTTGGGAGGTGTTCACCGTTCGGGTCGTGTAGCAAGCGAGCAGACTTTCTGGTGTCACATCTTCGCAGTCGCTTGGATTGTGGATGCGCACCGTGCGTGCTTGGAGTATCAAGACACTCCGGAGAAGCCCAAATCTCAAGAGCCGCGACAGAACAAGCAGGTCAATCGGTTGATTATGTTGGATAGGTGGCAGATGCATGAGGCACGGTGAGCACGGCGAACATTCAGGTGTGCAGTAAGGGACAGGACCCAGGTTTTCTCAACAATGACCTTCTCCCTTAAGCCAGCGCCGATCGAGGACTTCATCATGGGTTTTCCGGGCGGGTACGACACGAACGTCGGCGATCGGGGTGGCCAGGTGGGAAGAGATACGTTTCTTTGTCAGTGATCCCCAGATTCCGGAACGAGAGGTCTCGGGCGGGCAGAAGCAACGCCTCTCGGTCGCCCGTGCCATCCTCCTGAAGCCAAGGACCGCTGCAAACACTTAGGAGCCTAAATAATCAATTCGAAGAAAGGTATGGGGCATATGATCGCATGGCTTTGAATGTGTAGGGGGCGATACGGAGAGATGATTAATCACTCATTCTAAGCCATCCTTGTTTCTTCGCCCCCTTTTGTTGGATTGCACCTGGACTTCAGTGCCCTAGTGGCCCTAGTGCTGCCAGTTTCCTCCAACTTCTTGGAGGATCCTTGTGCTGGACGAGGCCACAAGCGCCCTGGACGCCGAAAGCGAGTCCATCGTCCAAGAGGCCGAAACTGCTTTGCGTGACCGGAGCTTTGGCTGGACAGCTTCGCTTCCATGCAGCTGAATTGAATCCGAACCTGCTTTCACCTGGGTGAAGGCCCTCGACCGACTGGTGGCGAGTAGCGGCAGTAGTGTGATGGCGCCTTGGTTGAGTCATGAATGGAATTTCCTAATTGGCGGGCCAGGCATGTTCCACGGTTCCAGTGTCGGCTTCAGCAATGGCAGGGGGAAGTGGTGGAATCAACTAAAGGGCCTGGCCAGACCATGCAGTCCGTGCATACACCGTTCCGTGTTGCTCAGACCTTGACTCAGAAGAGACTCAGCATGTGAGTTGTGGCGGGTTGCGCATTCACGTCGGACCAGATAGGAAGTTGAAAGCCCGAAGCCCAGAGATGAGCCAAAAGCATCTCGGACTTCAGGTCATCGCCCATCGCCTGTCCACCGTTCGCAATGCGGAAGCTTTGCCTGGTTTCAGATATGGATTTCCGTTCCCTTTTCTCATCGCTTAGCAGGGACGTTGCCGATGTCACGAACTCTGATGGGGCTCGGACATGCCCGTTTGCCAGGGGTTGCAATCTCCTCAGCATAAAGTTGTGCGTACTATACAGGAATGATCGTTAGCCGATCATGATAAAGCCCTGACTCTGGACTTGCAGCGAGCCCACCTGCTGCTGAAAAGGAATCCGAGGGCGAAATTTGTCCTTGGCTTCAGCTATCCGAAAAGCACCAACCCCGCAGAAGCGATAGCATGGCAGAAGCCACCAGGTCCCGTAGCAAGCATTCCATGCTGTCCAGCCTGTCAGTGCTTGTCCGCCAGGATGAAATCATCTGCCTGCGAGAAGGTCGCCGAAATCGCAATCAGTCGGTTTGAGAGTCTGTTGGTCTTTGGGCAGAGCCAGAGCGCTTGGTTAGGCCGAGTTGGGCCTGGTTGGGTAGCAGGTTGTGCTACAGCGCAACTGCACTTTGTCAGAGGCTTCCCCCCCGGCCCCCAGCGCAGCCAAGGCCACGTGGTTGAGCGCGGGTCCTCGAAGGAGCTCATGGAGCTGAGAGGCCCTGAAAAGGGGGGAGGGAGGAGCCGGGTTGGGATCTCTTCCGTAGGCCCGGGTGAGCATGAAGGCAATCATGCGCCCGTAGGGCCGTATAACATCAAGATCTACTTGCAAGCACCTCGCTGTTGCAAGACCACAAACTCCGAGGGCAGCCGGCTTCTTGTTGAAGACGATGCTTGCACAAAGCATGCATAGTTGCTGCCCTCGTGGCCAAGTGCGAAAGAGAATATTGCACCTAGACGATCCGACGCATGCCCGGATTGCAAGGCTACTACTACACGCTTGTGGAGAAGCAAGCTGCGGCTTGGCCATGGTCGTAGAGTGCAGGTTTCGAGGACGGAGGAGTTACGGTGGAAGTACTTAGTACTTCAGTGAGAGCTTCTCTCAGTTTTTCGCTGCTGCTATGGCAGTTACCAGTGCGTGTACATCTTCCGCCCCTGTTTTCACTTGGAGTAGAGGCTAGGCCTCAACATGAAGAGAGTGTCATCAGAGCTCCACATCACAGAAATGGGCTAGGAAAAATCGTCACGGTGTCCACATGACTTCGCGCTGCACTCACAATTGCAGTTGTCGGCTGCTCCTGAGGGTACTCGATACAGTGTGATGTCAAACGACCATAAGTCCAGGAACACCTGCCAGAACGACAACCGCACAGCAAGCAGGTTACCTTGGATGACATCGGTGGCGCCAATGCGGAGATAGATCGCTCTTTGAAATCCAGAAGCAAAGTTATGGATTCAGAGGCTAATGTACAGGAAAGCTCGGCCACGGAGAAATCGTCCTGAGAGCAAAAAGATCGTGATTGACACTGCAGAAACGAGCAGACATTCGAGGAGAAAGCGATGGGGCCGACCGACAGATCGGATCTGCAGGATACCGCCAACACGAGGCGTCATTCTAGCAAAGAACATTGCCTCTTTCGGCCTAGGTTCTAACGACGTTCAACTTCCGATAAACCAACCTTTAAATTCAAGTAACAGGATACGATAGACGGTATTCCGTCCAAAGTAGCGTGTATGATTCCGTGTTGTATTGTCCATTCCCTGTATGACTATGAGCATTGATCTAAAGGTCTTTGTCTTCGGCATTATGCAAAGCTGTTATTAATGAGACACGAAATGGTTTGTGCGGCAAACTTTCGCGATGGTTCCGTGACAGGCATCATTAAATCCTCTATTGCGTTTTGCATGTCCCGGATGCGGTGTATATAATATTTGATAGTGATCACAGCATCAGACTGCAGGTGTACAGGTCCCAGCCTGGTTTTGCGTAATGTCGTAGCAGGTTCCAACAAGGTGCCAAAATTCAGCGTTGGCTTAGCGAATACGAAAGGTACATTTTTAAGCTTTTTTGTAATAACTTAACATATATCTTAGATGGGGCCCCGGCCCACTAATAGTTCAAAAATAGGTTTATTATCAAACAGACAGGCCAAAAGTAGCACAAGGAAATCTGATCTCATTCGGTTTTCCAGGGCCAGGCAGTGTTTTGAATCCAAATATGTTTGGCATAGTTTGGCGATTAGGGCTGTGAGATGGGGTCGGACCGGCGAAGAGGTTGGGAGGAGCTATCTGCAACTTACCAGCGAAGAGGTTTGGAACCACGGTTTCGTTACCATCGCAACCTGGGCCCGGAGACCTTCTTTCAGACGGCCTGGACGCGGGGACTGGACTGGCCCGGCCGCCAGAGAGACAGAGCAAAACTAGCACCAGAAAAGCACAAAAAAAAAAGCACAATCGGACCGCGTCGAGCACAAGAAAAGCACAACAGACAGAGACAATTTTGCACCAGAACTACCGCGCGCCAATGTGTTTTGAAATCATGGAGCACAAAAAAAAAGCACAAACATACAAACACGTTTGGTTTTTGGAGCACAAGAAAAGCACAAAAAAAAAACACAATCGGATCGTTTCGAGCACAAGAAAAGCACAACAGCCGGAGCGTTTCGAGCACAAGAAAAGCACAAAACAAAAGCACAAACATACAAACACGTTTGGTTTTTGGAGCACAAGAAAAGCAAAAAAAAAAGCACAATCGGATCGTTTCGAGCACAAGAAAAGCACAACAGCCGGAGCGTTTCGAGCACAAGAAAAGCACAAAAAAAAGCACAAACATACAAACACGTTTGGTTTTTGGAGCATAAGAAAAGCACAAAAACAAAGCACAATCGGATCGTTTCGAGCACAAGAAAAGCACAACAGCCGGAGCGTTTCGAGCACAAGAAAAGCACAAAAAAAAAGCACAAACATACAAACACGTTTGGTTTTCGGAGCACAAGAAAAGCACAAACAAAAAGCACAATCGGAGCGTTTCGAGCACAAGAAAAGCACAAAAAAAAAAGCACAAACATGCAAACACGTTTGCGGAAACGAGCCCGGAGGCCTGCCTAGATTGCAGAAAGAGTACAGACAGAGCACAAGAAAAGCACAACAGCCGGAGCGTTTCGAGCACAAGAAAAGCACAAAAAAAAAGCACAAACATACAAACACGTTTGGTTTTTGGAGCACAAGAAAAGCACAAAAAAAAGCACAATCGGATCGTTTCGAGCACAAGAAAAGCACAACAGCCGGAGCGTTTCAAGCACAAGAAAAGCACAAAAAAAAAGCACAAACATACAAACACGTTTGGTTTTTGGAGCACAAGAAAAGCACAAAAAAAAAGCACAATCGGATCGTTTCGAGCACAAGAAAAGCACAACAGCCGGAGCGTTTCGAGCACAAGAAAAGCACAAAAAAAAAACACAAACATACAAACACGTTTGGTTTTTGGAGCACAAGAAAAGCACAAAAAAAAAAGCACAATCGGAGCGTTTCGAGCACAAGAAAAGCACAACAGCCGGAGCGTTTCGAGCACAAGAAAAGCACAAAAAAAAGCACAAACATACAAACACGTTCGGTTTTTGGAGCACAAGAAAAGCACAAAAAAAAAAACACAATCGGATCGTTTCGAGCACAAGAAAAGCACAACAGAAAAGAGGTTTCTGTGATCGAAATGTCGCGCCCGGGTACGCCTCTCAGTACTAAACTTGGTCGAAGAGGCCAGACCCCGGCCCGGCCTCAGCCCGCCCCCCACCCCCCCCGTCCGTTCAGCTTTCCAGCCCAGCCCCCTCAGCCCCCCCCAGCACCCCCAGCCCCCCCCGCCCCGCCCCCCCTAGTCGCGCAGAGGCATTGCAGCTCCTGATGTTTGCTCAAGATCGAATCCGAGAAAACAACAGGGGTGTGACTGTGTTTGCAACTCATGGGGTGGCAGTTTACTTGTTGTCTCAGTCTTGCGTTTTCCAATCATGCGAGCATGATCACAAACGAGTCAACATTTCAGCATTTCCCTGGTGCTTCATCTTGTGCTTCTGTTTCTGCCCACTATTAGTGAGGCGGGGCCGCACACAACATATATCTAAGTTTTATTTGTATTCTATATGTCTTTGTTGTTTATTGCGATGATAAGATGATAGTGATTGTCTTAGTTAAGTCTGAGATTTTGAATATACTAATGGGAAGTCTAGCTGATTGTCAGCTTGTAGTCTGACTGGTCAAAGCTTAGAGGCATAGGGGTTCGCAAGCCTTGGTCGGAACCGCAAACGAGATGAAGTGTGGGGAGTTTCTTTCGTCCTCTCCTGGAACTGTTTTACTGCCACGCCAGACGCAAATTCAGTACATGGTCTATCCACCAGATTATCTATCCGCAATAGAAAGCCTCTGCTTCACCAGCACTGTCCTCGCACTGTGATGCTGTTCGGCTACTGGAAGATCTTGTCGTTTGTCGAGTATAGCCATGGCAGCTCCGATATGCTCCTCGGCGAAAGTGGAAACACGGTAGCAAGGGTTCGTATCAGATGTCCTGCGGATTGAGGTATTGCGCACTGGGAGTTCAGTGGGTGCCGCAAGTCAAGTTTGTAACTGCTTCCCTGCACTCGCTGCGCTCAGCAGGCTTTCATAGTTTAAGTTCTCTTGTGGTGCCGTGCAGCCCAGGGGCCTCAAGCATTTTGCTGCTTGCAGCCGCGATCCGCCAGAATGTCGACAAGGAGCTGGCCCGGTTGCATGGAACTTTTTCATGGCTGCAGAGTAGCAACTCGGTTCAGTTGGTCTCCTGACAAAGCCGTCGCATGAACGGAGTGTCGTGGAGTTTGCTTTTACAGAATGTTCGTCTCAGCAGGGACGGACGCTTGATTTGGGTTCCTGCAGCTCTTGATGATCAGCTTGTGGCCGAATTCTCTCCCAGCAGGAGCTCGCGGCTGTTCCATGGACGGTGCACCGGTCTGGCGCATTCGGATCCGAGTTCCTCCGTGGGAGGCTCGCAGGTTTCGGCCCTGGGCCTCGGGTTCCCGTTTTTGTGGCTTCCAGGGTTCCAGAAGGTGCTCGTATTCAGCGCCAGTTGAATCTCCACGCTTGGCCTTCTTACTAGTAATAGCCTCTTCAAGGGACATTGGACATCCCTCTATGCCCCAAAGGTGCAGTTGTGTGTTCCGTTGCGTGTTCCTGACTCTCAGGAACCGCGGAGGGAGCGAATCTGAGCTCGACCCCGAACGGCTGGCCCTGCATCTCTTCACAACTTGCACTTTGCATGTTTTTTCGGATCGAGCTGTGTAGTCGATGTCGCCTGAGAGTACTTGAAAGGTATCGTCGGGGACCGGCGATCCGTCAGCCGGACTTGGGCAACCTGAGCGCTGGATGCCGTCGGCAGCTGGGAGGTCGGGGAACAGCCATCGTAGGACTCTAGGACCGACTAGCGACTAGGACCGACAGATCATCGAAACCGAGAACCGCATGAACCAGTCGGACGCCTCTGGGCATCCAGGTCTCGTCGAGGACCTTGAGAAGAAATGTGCCGAGACACAGGACGAAGCGGCGGAAAAGGACCGCTAGCATCAGTACTGATACGGCTTGGGTTCCGAGCTGCATGATGTCGTCTTCGTTTTCTTCAGTTGACGGCGAAGGCTTAGCTTCAGGGAACGCAGTCGACACAGAGACCAGACCGTTCCAGTCCCTGCAACCGCCAAACACCAAACAGACTAGACAGACACCAGTTTTCGTGGAGCTGCACTCCTTGCTCCAGGAAGGCATCTTCAGCTGTGAAACCAGTGCCTGGGACCTCTTCACATGGGGGGAGGCCATGGGGCTGGAGGGAGTAGGCAAAAGCCAGGGGTCGGGGAGGACATCGCAGAAAGTCGAATTTTCTTCGTCAGTGCTCCAGGCCCTGGCGGAGGCCTTGAGCATCTCCAGCCCGGAGCTCGAGGCCAGGCGGCGAAGCGACGTCCCAGTCCCCGTCGAGGCAGAGGAGGCCCTGGAGAGGCCTGCTCACCGCGAGTGAGATTCAATGCTCAGTCTAAAAAAAGACAGTTTCTTGGAAAAGGGCAGTAGGGTAGGCCAGGCGCCCTTGTGCCCGCAGGTTGGCTTCGTGGTTTCAGCCACTCGCCAATGCCCCCAGGGATGCGCTGCTTTGGGCGGGTTTTTGGGACGGAGAGCCAACGGGCCGAACCAATAAGACGGCCCTGTTGAAGTTCGCTGACTTGATGGAAAGACAGACGCTTCATCCGAGCACCCCGCTCGGGAGCCTCATCAGCAAGTGGGAAGATCTGAATCACTGCTACGGCACCGATACCAGGGATCTCATGAACAACTTTTGGAGCTTTGCCAGCCTCTCCTTCGTCGCCGGGTTAGCACTCGTGCGGCAGCAAGGGGTTCTGGCCCTGGTCAACAAAGAGATGCCACTTTCTGCACTCTTGAGCACTGTTCGTTTTTGTCCTTTGTCCTTGCCTTGCTCTTCGAAAGTCGGTGTTGTCTTGAGCCAAGGCGAGGGCCGCGCCGCCTTGGCGAGTCAGTGCTTGCGAGGCACGAAATCCCCAGCATCGGCCTCGCGATCATCGAAGCTGACTGGGCTCCCCATGTGGTGCTCGTGGATCTGAAGGGTACCTGCAGTGTGACCAGCAGCTTCCTGCAATCGCAGCTGCTGCCATCAGTGCAGAAATTGGAGCGGCACTTTCTTGTTGACCTGGATTCCTTGGACTCCGTTCGACTCTTCAAGCCGTTTAAGAGGATGCGCTGGACTTGCGTCGACTGTGCAGAGGCCTCCGGCTGCAGCCTCGATGAACGACTCGCGACCTTCCTCCAGAAGGAGCTGTTGTCGAAGCCGGACGGGATCTGACGTGAAACGTACCGTACAAGTGCGCATGAACACTGAAGGTTGTGTGCGGCGGCGGGTACGTTCCTTAGAGCCCACACGCTGTGCAGCACACAAGAAGTAAAAGACACTCGCGGCGCAACCAGCTGGTGAGGAATGGTGGTGCGAGATACAGCGCTGTTGCAACGCTGTCAACAACGCAGGGGTGCGCGCTGGAGCTTGCAGGGCAGCACGGACGCCCTTCACCTCATTCGTAAATCGCAGAGTTCCCGAACCAGGCGCAACGCTGAGGATGTCAAACGATGGCGAAGAAAACCTTTGGTCCGAGCATAGGTCTTTCCACCAAGTAGTAAGCCACGGCAGATCCTGTAGATATTCGGTTGAGTCTACATGCATTCTTCCCTTCTGTGCAACAGGCCATGCAGGCCTCAAAGCTGTCCTCGGTGCCTTTGCAGGTGGCATCTTGAGCTTTCTAAGCAGAATGGACTGGAGTTGAACGGTGACTTCCATGCATATGTCCCAGCTTGGGGTTCGAAAGGGTTGAGATTATAGTGCTTAGCAGGTTTGGTCCGTCACTGACCATGGGTACATGGTCTAAACTGTTCATCAAGCTTCGGGGATGGATGCGCATCCTCACGATGTAGGTTTGTTTGGCAATTTGGCCGTAGAACTTTGGAGAAGCTTTGCAGAAGCGCGCCTCATCCTTGCAGCAAGCTTGTCGGCCTCAAATCACACGCCACAGTTCCTACGCCGCACTGGCAGTCAGCAATGGCTCGGTGGTGGCTTGTGTTGGCATTTGCTGGGGTTGCTGTGGGAGTGGATGACGCTTTCCCCTCAGTACATGCGCTGGTTGGGCGCGTAGTTGGCCCAGATGCCAGCCAGAAGTTCACCTTGGAGGAGTTGACTGCGGACTCAGAGGGTCGAGAGCAGATGTCTTTGCGAAGCGATGGGAAGCGGGTGGTTGTGGGTGGGACAAGCCCCATTGCAGCTGCGTCGGCCTTCAATTGGTACTTGAACGATTTTCTGAACACAACGTACGACTGGTCGACGTATCAAGTCATCCTTCCAGAGACCTTCCCGCTGCCAGCGGCAGTCAGAAAGCCTCGGCTCGTGCAGTGGTCTTACCATTTGAACGTGTGCACGTACGGCTACAGCTTGGCCTTCGTGGACTGGGAGTACTGGCAGAAGCACATCGACTGGATGGCGATGCAAGGCATCAATCTACCGTTGGCATTTATCGGCCAGGAACGAGTACTTCAACGGGCTTTCGCACGATTCAACATCACCTTTGAGGAGCTCCAACACTTCATTTCCGGACCAGCCTTCTTGCCGTGGTTCCGGATGGGGAACTTGCAAGCTTGGGGTGGTCCGATTTCAGAGGCATGGATCGAGGATAGAGTCAAGTTACAAACGCAAATCCTTGGCCGTATGAGGGAGTTGGGTATGAAGGCGGCTTTGCCTGCTTTCGCCGGATTCGTCCCACCAGTCTTCGCGACCAAGTTCCCCAAGGCAAACCTCACGCACTCGGCAGACTGGAACCGCTTCCCCGACCCGTACGGAAGCGTTTCCTTGCTGGAACCTACAGACCCACTGTTCAAGCAAATTGGGCAGGCCTGGATTGAGGAACAGACGAAGTTGTACGGCACCGACCACATCTACCAAACTGACACCTACAACGAGATGAACCCCAGGTCCACGGATCTCACCTATTTAGCCTCCTCCTCCAAGGCCGTGATTGATGCGATGGAGGCGGTGGACAAAGAGGCGGTGTGGCTGATGCAAGGCTTGGGGGTTGGGGCAACAGGGTTCATCCGACCCGCCCCCCCCTATCAACCAGCCAAGTTCTTTGTGGCTGGTGAGGTTCAGAATTAATCAGGTAGCCCAGAACAAAAGCCACCAAGGCTGGCTGTTCCTCTCCAGCTTTTGGTCCACCGATCGCATCAAGGCCTACCTGAGCGGAGTGGCCAACGAGAAGATGATAATCTTGGACTTGGCTACGCCTGCCAACCCGATTTGGTCCAAGACGAGCTTTTACTTTGGAAAGCCCTTCGTGTTCAACACATTGCAGAATTTCGGCGGTCAGCAAGGTGTTACGGGGAATCTGCCGAAGATCGGAGATGGGTTCAAAAAAGCCTTAGCGGCGTCATCGATGACCGGCGTCGGAATTACCATGGAAGGGATGTGGACGAACTATATCACCTACGACTTCACCCTGCTACAAGCTTGGGGTCGGGCCGGTGACCCTGAAGACTTTGCGAAGACCTTTGGGGCTCGGAGGTACGGAGAGGCGGCATCCGAAATCGGAGCGAAGCTGTGGACGGATCTCTACCACTTGGCCTACACAGCCGGTGGCGAGCCCAGGTCTGGCTCGCTGGCAAGGCGCCCCTCTCTGACGCAGAAAGAAGAAGAGGAGCATACCGCGCAGTCGATGCGAATGCTGAGAACCCTTACAGCCGTGTCAGTCACCCCAGGCACCCCAGGCACCGGCACCCCGTCGTCCTTCCGCTTTGGCTCCGTGTGGTCCGAGATGCTATCGCTTCTGGCGCCCAGGGCGGCGTCTTCGAAGGCTTTCCGTTTTGATTTAGTCGATGTCGGCCGTGAGGTGCTCACGGAAGCTTTCGACCGAGAGCTTGCAAAGCTTAAGGAGGCTTCAGCTGCGAAGGATGCTGGGATGGCCGCTGCGGCACAGCAAACCATCCTAGCGGTTTTGGACGACTTGGATGCCTTGCTGTCCACAGACGAGAACTTTCTGCTTGGCCGTTGGTTGTCATGGGCGGAGCAGTGGGCCCACACGGACTCAGACCGCAAGCTTTTGCTCTTCAACGCTCGCAACCAACTCACCTTATGGGGCCCAACAGGTCAGATCCTCGACTATGCCACGAAGTCCTGGGGAGGCTTGGTCAAAGGCTTTTTCCGGCCACGTTGGGAACTCTTTTGCCAAAAGGTCCTCGAGGCAGTTCAAGGTGAAAGATCCTGGACGCCCGGCGATCAAGAAGCCTTTGACAGTGATGTCTTGGCAAAGGTGGAGCTTCCCTGGCAGACCTCCACCGAGATGTATCCGAGCAAGCCGACACGAGATGCCATCGAAGTCTCCAAGGCTTTGTACCAAAAGTACATAGGCTCCTTTACGGCTGTTGTGTGAGCAAGTGCTGGAGCTTGACAGCGCCTGCGCATGCAAAATATCAAAAGACGTCAGCCCTTCTGGCCCCTCTGAGGCAAGTGCAATGTGGCAGACCCTTCCCAGACTGAGACCGGGGACACGGGAATTCCATCGAGCCAGACAAGCAGCCAGCTAACTTATAAGGTTCGTGAAAGGGTTGGTTGTTTGGGACCCCTGAACCTATCACCCAGCCACAAGCAGACGAGAGTCGGATGACAACCTCAGCCACGAGCCCTTCCCGACTTCCGGACGCTCTCAAGACCTTTTCGGCGCATCGAAGGCTTCTGAGCTTCGAGGTCTTGAAGTAGGGCCAATCGGGTTTAGAGGCCTCGGCGCTTGAGGATGCAAGGTGGACGGTGGCGGATGTGGGTGTTGGGACCGACATGGACCGACGATATCAAGCAGACTGTGAGTCTCGTTAACCTTTTAACCTTGAGCCTGAAACAGTCAGCTGAAGCCCTCTAATCTGCCCTAGTCCTGTGGGCCTTGGGCTTTATGAACCTTCAACCCGATCGGAACCTTCAAGCCCAGACCGTGCAGTCTAGAACCGTATATGCTCGAGGCATGTACAAGACCTGTAGACCTGTCGTTTGACAGGTTCCAGGCTTGTCAGCGCCGCTCAAACGATGGATCGGCATGGGTGCAGGACGTCGAATGAGCTTCAAGCGAACCGGGCAGCAACACTGGCAGGAGCATGTGTCAGACAAGCACAGAGCACAGAACAACAAGCCGCCAGTGCCAATCGCTTTCGGCGCCATGCTATGCTGCCGCGGGTCTAAAGTGTGCCCCCCACGATCGCCAGAGCCTGCGACTGAAGCGATGGCAGAAGAGCCCGCAATCACAGCTGAAGCAGCTGTAGCTTCGGCGGCTGCAGCACCGGTCTCTATTGCACCCGAGCCCATGGACCAAGTTAGACCTTGAATGTTGTCATGGCGTACGGGGTAGTGCAGATCAACTTAGCTTTGGAAGGCCCAAGGCAGATGGCACCTCTCTGATGATGAGGATGCCTTAATAAGGAGTCTTGGGATGGCAAGGGTTCTAGTAGAAGGTTGCCCCCAAAAACCCTGTTAGAATTATCAAGCCCCCTATCGTGGCTCAGGCCGGTGCAGGAGAGGAAGCTAGAAATCCTCTGGGCCACCAGTGGTGAGCTCCTGGTGACCCTGATGCTGCCCGCAAGCAGTCTCGTGAAAGACGTGAAGGCCTGGCCTGGGAAACTACTCTCCGATTTGGGGTTTGGTAGTTTCGCAGGGTTGAAGGCGCAGAGTCTCAGTCTAGGATTGATGCGGTAGGGTTTTGGCTTTCGGGTTTGCTGCGCAGGGTGCAAAACAGGATGCAGCGGCGATCGTGCGCGTAGGACTCTCAGGAGACCCATTGTTGTCAACTGGGGGTCCGGAAACGACCGCCAGGGCTAGGGTTTGGGGAGCAAAGAGCCTTCCCAAGCCAACCGGCGCTGGTGCAAAGGAAACCCTTAATGCAGGGCAAGATCGTCAGACTTTGAGTGTTTGCCAGGCGCAGCTGCAGTCCAAGCTGCCTGGCACTTCTATTAACTTTTGCAAGCACAAGCTGCTGCAAGCGTTTTGTTTACCTGCATGCGTATACAACCACAAGTATCAGTATCAATTACGCTAGTTGGATAAGCATACATGTGTGTGTGTATCACCGTCGTCTATGTTCAGGCAGTGTACACATAGCATATGCACATACGGGCAGATCTGCTGGCGGGGCGTACAGTATGCCCTTGTAATTTCGGAAATCCCGGTCCATGCAGCCGTAGGCTGGGAATCGATGTCGAAATGCAGAAGCTCGTCACAGACGAGGCGGTGCTCGAGGACGACCACCCTCTGCCTCCAGAGCCTGGCCATCAGCTCCGTCTCATCTGCATATCGCCAGAGTATGGCCTGGTCGTGGTGGAGGAGGTGGATAACAGGAGGCCAAGTGGAGTTGAACAGCCCTGTCCTGCCAAAACATAACTTTTCGCTGTTTGGCGATGTTCTTTTCTCATTCCTGGGTTCGTTGAAGTCTGGCGGCGTTGGTCCCGCAAACATTTCCACCAGGTCACGCAGTGGATCAGAGCAGCGCGGGAATGTGGCCTCAAAGACAAACGGCTTGGCGAAAGCCCTGGGCACGTCGGGAGACGTCCGAGAAGAAGGGGACACCACGCACTACCACGTTCAATTGGAGGCCAGATCCGCGAAGCTCATGCCCCATGCTCTGAAGGGCGGCTGCCCACGAGAAAGATCATTTTTAATGGAGTAGATTCGCTAGTAGTCTGCAACATAGTCTTACTCTTGGGTTGGCTCTCGTCAACAGGCCTGCCGGTGCCCTTGACTCGACTCTGTCACTAGAAGAGACAAGAAGGCGTCATGCTGTAGTCAACCGGTGCTTAGGAGTTACCCTGCAATGCGGGCCTCGTCCTTGCTAAGTCGGGGAAAAGACATCATGAGACCTGATTGTACTGGCTCCATAGGCTGGAAAGTCGTACCCGAAGACTCGGAACACGCTTCGGACTACACTCTACACTCTAGCAGCATTTTTTGCATTTCATCGAAGAGGTATTTGCAGCTTCAAGAGTCCTGGGTTGCACCAGCTCTTTTGCTAATGAAGTTTCTGTCATTCCTGTTGATTGTCATTGTTGCTTCTGCCACTATGAGACACCACCATCGTTTTTCCTTGTCGTTCTGATCATTTGCACGAATAGTAGGCTGACTTTCGATGTCTTTGCGGCGGTACCAGATTCCAAGCATCTGTGAGCTCTGACAAATCCTGAATTGTGTTTCTCGAAACAGTACAAAAAATAACCCCAAAGCCCGGAAGTCCCGGTATGGAACTCTTGCGGGTTCTACTCAAGGCTACAGATTGCAGGATCAGCCCCGGTAAAACTAAGTCCTCGAGGTGGTGGTGCCAGAGACCAAAGAGCAGCCGAAGCTTTTTTGGACCGAAATCACCAGCGGCATTGGGACGTGCAGCGTCTTCAGCTGCTACGTGGAGCCTGGAGCCAAAGCGACTTCGTTTTGCTCTTAGAGATTCGGTTTGGGCTCTTGGGTTTTAGGACTTGGGCAATGGGTTGGTTGTGTAGTCGGTGTAGTGGCTCTGGGATTCTACCGCCTTAGTTATTATCCTGCTGAGACATAAGTGCAAAGTCCGTGATTCGAGACCAAAACACAACGGCGGTGTTGGAAGTGTCAGCAGATATTTAATCGGCGATCAACCTGAAGCTTGGCATGCGGAACGGCCAGCAAAGACTCCGTATGTAACCGGCACGTGATTTGAGCTATAGCATGCCCAGGTGCTCCTGGCTTTGCCGGACGAAGCTTTCGCGCCCGTTCTGCCAGCAGAAAGGGTCTGGGTGCCGGTGATATATCCCAGGGGACCCAAGCGTACATCAGGCTTTGCAAGCGGCAAAGGTCAGCCGCCCCGTGGGTTCCTTTCTCTGAACTGCTTGAGACCGCTACGGCCAGAGGACACGAGGGTCTTTGAGGTTTTTTTGCATGCCAGAAGGCTTATCGGGATACGACAGAGGTACTTACCACTTTCTCCTTGACGCCTCGAACCTGTTGGGTTCCTGCTTCTCCGAATCAGTGCTTCCAGCTAACATGCAGGACTGCGACTGGCAGAGCGTGACTGCGCCCAAACTCTACCGACTTTATTCTTGAGGCTGGCCTTTGCTAGTTCGCTGACGATTTAAAGTGTTGCTTAGAATGAGAAGAAGTCCGTCGATATATATATATATATATATATAATGTATGTGCGTACATATATATATATATATGTGTGTGTGTGTTGTTTACAACTTCTTCCGTAAGTAGTATAGTAGAAGCCAGAAACATGGAACACGGCTTCAGAAGGATTCGTGCTAGGATCCCTTATAATTTACCTTAAGGGTATGAGGAGAATGATGTTCCAACTTCCTGGCTTCTACTATATTATGAACTGAATCAAAATTTTGACTAAAATCTGGAAGATTGCACATGGTCATGATATTAATTGCGATATTTCGAGCTTATAACTTTACCTTGATAAAGAAGAAGATCATTCTCAATAAAATATTTGGAACCCAAGATATTAATAAGACTGTTGAAAGCTGTCTTCAAAGAAAACAGATGCGAGGTCTCCAAAAACACACATAATATGTATGTATATATGTATATACATATATATATATATATATATATATAAAGTCAGGTGCCAGGCGTTCCGGGCACCGAATGATTGGTAGGGCGGGTCGAGGCCGTTG